TGGCTTGTTTGCATATAACGAAAAAGGAGAGGGCCATTCCTTCACTCTTCTTTAATCTGAAGCAAGAGGGGGGAGTGTTCATGGAGGTGGAGTTTGGCCCTGGTCAATATATTAAACAGAGGAAAGGAAGGAAGGAAGCATACTCAGTTTCTTTTGCTGTGTTCGCAGTGTGCTTGACCCACATCAAGTCTTAGTGAGCAGGAAAAAAAACACACCCTCAACTGGACTCTGACTGAAACCCTCTTGCAAAAAAAAAACATTGAAAGAGGTAAGAATGAGTTCGCTGTGAAACTTTTTTTTTGTCTTAGATAACAAGCTAAAGAGTTTTTGTAATTGCATTGTTGTTTGCTTTAAAAAAAGGTAGCAGTGGTAACATTGTAAAGCAAGGACTTTCAGGCAACTGAACATGTGTGTGGCTTTATTCATTATGTCTTAAGAATGTCATGTTCAACATGTGTTCACTTGATCGACCACACCTTAGCAATATAGAGCTCAAATGCTTTATCAAAGTGCAAATATTTGCAAACAGTGCACAGTTAGACACTTTATAGAACGTAATCTACTTTTTAGATGGCAAGAGGATTGGTAAACATTACATTATGAGTTTAGAATTTTTTTTAATCAAAAGTGACTTTCAAATGAAGAAGTCTAAAACACAAGAAAGTAAATAATTAATTGTGCCAACTTCATGGGGCAAGTAAATGAGCTATATCCACCAAATTATGGATGTAGGCTTTCTGTGTTAATGCATTATGAACATATTGTACACTTATGCATGTATATTCTTAACTGTTCTCAATGTTTTTAAAAGTACAGTACAGTACAGTTAATCTGCATTATTATGCATCACACCATTTAACCATGGTCAAATAATATAATTTATAATTTGGGTTTAAAAACTTTGTGGGGGGAAATGGATTGGGGAAGATGCTCCCCTTAAGAACAATGTGGACTTACTTTCAAATTGTAACATATTTCAATATAGGTTTAGCATGTGCATGATGATGATCCATCAGCCAATGTATTATTATAGGAAGTAACATTTGCTAATTTAGTTGTTATAGCATAAAATGGCAAAACTTTTACAGAATGTATAAATTACTTTTGATATTATTTTTAATAATATTTAAATATATTTTTAAGTGTCATTAATGTAAAATACTAAATAACTTTATTTTGACGATTTAGTTGATACTAATTGAATGATGGCAGACAATGAGATTTAGGCTACCTGAAAGATAAAATCGACTTATATACAGCCATATGAATATTTAATTATTTAAAGGTGCTCTAAGCGATGTCATGTGTTTTTTAGGCCAAAACATTTTTTGTCACATACAGCAAACATCTCCTCACTATCCGCTGGCTGCCTGTCCCCTGAACACACTGTAAAGAAACGCGATCTCTGTAGACAGCCCATGCTTCACAAACAGCACCAAAAACAAACTGCAGCGACCCGCTCCCCAAAACATAACAAACTGTTCCAGCCAATGACCGACAAGAAGGGTTTGGGGGTGTGGTTTGGGGGGTTAGTGTGCGGATGAGGAGGAGGGAGGGTCTAGCTAGCCTCCGTTTTGTTTGACAATAGTTCGAACGTCAACAAGAAGTGACGTCACCCAGGATCGCTTAGAGAACCTTTAATTGCCTATATTTTTCTTGAAGATATGTCTTAATAGCAACACTATAAATGCAAATTTAATTACTTCACTTATTCAGTTTTAATGAAAGCGAAGATGTCTGAAATGTTCATCTCATTCATAACCCCATTAATTACAATAATTATTACATTTAAAAATAATAATACTATACGGGGTGTAAACTATGATATTCAACATAATACAATGTCATACCAGAGACACACAATTAGATAAATGAACCTCAAAACTTTGACTGTCTAAATCTCACAAATGTTGATACTCAGATGACATGACAAAATTAAAAATAGTGAAGCCATTTATCAAAAGATTGTGTCATCTTTATGATTCAATAAAAATAACCTTATAATGCATTGTATAAACAGCTTGGCAGAAAGTGTACTTGAAGTAGTGTTTATTTGAGTGCTCTTGTAGAAAGTGTCTAAGTCATGTGACCTTATATGGTTTCAGAAGTCCTTATTTATTCCTAACACTCATGCATCCAAGGAATTTGGACAGGAAGAGGCCATTAGCAGCCCTTTTCATTGTGTGTTTTTTTTTTTTTTTTTTACCTGCTAAAGCTATTAATGGCTGATTACATATCTTAGTTATAAAGTCTCACTGCTGCAAAGCAAACATTACTTGCACAAGATTTTGCATAAAACATTCAGTGTTTACAGAAGGATGTCAGGTCCTTGTTATAAAATCATTTAAATTGTGATAGCAGTAACATCAGTAACCTGATGAACCATTGTTATTACTAGTGATATTTCTGCATTGCAAATAATTTACTTGTAGATGAAGTAAAGTGTTATAGAAAAACAACATACCTATCATAACATGCACCCTGCTTGTTCTGAGTAATTAAATTATTCATTAAAAGGGATGTGTTCAAAATAATAGCAGTGTGGAGTTTAATTAATTCTGTGAAAAAAACAGGTGCCATTAATTGTTCTTTATTAAGGAAGAAGGGAAGCAAATGTTTTGCATATTGTTATAAAATATATTTCCTTCCTAATTGCTAAGTAAAATGGGCCGTTCCAAACATTGTTCGGAGGAAGAAGGCATTTTGACTAAAAAGAAATGAGCAACTACTGTTAAAAATGGATTAAAATGAATAGTCAGAAAGGCAAAGATTCCGCCAATCATGACCTCCAGAAAGATCAATGATGATCTAAAATTACCTGTAGGTACCGTTACAGTCAGAAGACTTATGATCGGAGCTATCAGAAAGAAGCACCATTGTTGAAAAAACGGCATTTTTATACACTACTTCACATTTCAGGATGTGTCTGTATGGATGAGTGACATGGCTTGAGTGAATGTCAGAAAATGTATCATCTTATTCAATTGTGCAACAACAAAAAGTTTACACATAAAATTGAGAGAGAGAGAGAGAGAGAGAGAGAGAGAGAGAGAGAGAGAGAGAGAGAGAGAGAGAGAGAGAGAGAGAGAGAGAGAGAGAGAGAGAGAGAGAGAGAGAGAGAGAGAGAGAGAGGAAAATGCCCTTTTGTGCATGATTGTGTAACTGACAAGTAAAAAGCTTGTCTGGGTCATTGATTCTTTATCCGACATTCTTCAAAAATACATCAGCATCCTGAATTTCCAGTTTTCCATTGCTTACAGGGTTAATGCAAGAAACTTTCCAAATGATGCAATGCTCAAAAAGTTTTTCTTGTCAGGACAAGTCATGATAAAGGTGAAATGTGCTTTCATTGTTAGCACAAACCCACGTTTTAACAGGGTATTCATCTTTAAGTTAAGATTTTCTGTGGTGTCCCTGCACTGCACAGTTTTGCCATGTGCTTTTTCTACTCTGTAAAAAATATCCTGTTAATTTTAGGGTAAAAAAACCTGGCAGCTGTGGTTGCCATAAATTTACCATAAACAATGCTATGGCAATTTTACAACTTAGAACAGTATATTTCATTAAGTAATATAATATTAATATACCTACTTCTAGGGTACCAAACTACCAAAATCTACCTTGTTACCTTAAAATGTAACGATAACCACCACAATAATCCAGGTGCATCTACAGTCCCCCACCGAGAGTCCCGCATTCTCAGACCCCTCGTTTTTCGAACACAGCGCCTCCTGCTGTTCGAAAGATCGTATAACATCCGCACACAGAGTACAGCGCACGCTTATCCAAATGCAATTAAAAACAATAGGATGCAATATTACGGTCTCCAAATAAATGATCCAATAAATATTTGCGTTCCCTGCATGCATGTGCCAAAAAAAAAAAAAAAAACTCATTGCGATGGAAGGGATACAATTACAGATTGAACTATCTTCTGAAAAATAGTATGTGATATTATATTGCTACAATGTTTTTTTTATTATATTTTTTTATTCAAATTCCAATTTTTCTTTCAGTTCAACCTATAATGGTCTAATTAACATTACCATGCTAACATTACAAAATCTGTTTTTTGATATTTTGAATGCGAAGCAAAACAAATCAGAATAGACAAAACACCAATAATAAACAATTCTGTACTTTATTTAATGATCACCTAAACATCATCTTGCTGTAAAGAAAAAAGGAAGAAAAAACTGTGTTCGTGACTTTACTTTTCGTCTTCAATTGCATTAAAAAAACTAATTTATAAGTCGCTTTGCATAATCATATAATGATATGTTGCTGGGTTCGGCAGGGGCGACTCCATCGATGTATGGTGTACCCTGGAATAACCTACAACAGTATAGGCCCGATAGCACATGTCTTATGATGTTTCAAAAAGAAAGAAAGAAAAAAAAAAGAAAAAAGATGTTTGCAAATGTTACCTTCATGTTGCACTGCTCTGTTGAAGTGTCCCTTGAGATGTTTTTGAACTTTGGACAACTTTGTGGGTTTGAAATATATGGGGGCCGGGGCACAAAATGGGCAGTGAAAATCACTGCAGCATTTATGACATATCTACAAAAAGTCCAAGGTTAAAGGCTAACGTTAGCTATCAAAATATTTTCGGGGGGAAGAGGGCGAAAAAACAAACATTAACGGCTCAAATCTTGTTACAAACTATCTTTACAAATATTAAATAGACTATTCATATGTTGTATCGATGAGCCAAATTAGTTTTATTAAAAAATAAATCAAACGAGTAGGCTACTACGATTCGCTAAATAAAATTGAAGATAGCCTACTCACGTTTTGGCTTAAGTTCTTCACATGTTCTTCACATGTTTATCCGATACAATTTGATAGGAGGCGCTGTCTCGAAAAACGAGGGGTCTGTCTGAGAATGCGGGACTCTGGGTGCAGAGGGACTGTAGATGCAGGTCTCCGAGTCTGCAGCTTTACTCAGCCTGTTCATAAAACATGGTCAATACTCATATAAACCTGTAGATGGTGCACAGGGTCATACAAAGACAAAACACCATCAGGGTAACACACGTGACACTAAAATAATGAAATATATGTTAAATTAGTTAACATAAAATGTAACACAATGTAACATCACTGATGACAAAAATAAGAAGAAACAAAATTATATATAAAAAAATTAAATCATATGTGATGTGAAATGCAGGGACTTCTGGGAATGTCCTTTTTCTGTTTTTTTGTACCATAAATGATGTGGTAATTAGATTAAAATAGTTAAAAATTTGTTTTTTTCTTGCAAAAGCAGATAACCAGTTAACATGTTTTTACTGTAGCATTTTTGGTAGTTTTCTTTTAAAAAATTAAAACGTTTTTTTTACAGTGTACAGTAAACAAAAACATAATGAATAATTTAAATGTATTTTTTTAATGCATTGCTAATAATTATTCTTATGTAATCCACAGAAGCTGGTGCAAGAAAATATCCACACAAAAAAATGCCAGCTCAGGAAAATTGCAATTCTCAGGGGCCAGTAGCTGGGGTGTTTCTTGAACATTCAAATGAAACCATTACAATATACCAAGCCTACAAGAAACGCTTGTTGACTCCAGGAACATGTCTGGCACTGTTAGAAGCCCAAGCTGCAACAGGAGGAATCATCGACCCAGTCAAAAACAGGATATGCACTGTAGAAGATGCGGTAAAGGAAGGCATTGTGGGACGTGAAATGAAAGAGAAACTTCAATTCGCTGAGAGGGCCATCATGGGCTACACAGATCCTTACACCAACCAACAAATCTCACTCTTCCAGGCCATGCAGAAAGATGTGATTCCAAAAGAGTATGGCATTAGACTACTTGAGGCACAGATCTCTGGCAAAGGGATCTATGACCCTATTGAAAAATGCTACCTAACAGAAGAACAAGCCAATGGACGAGGTCACTATGACAAAGATCTTTTCAGAGACCAGATGGATGATCTAAAAATATTCTATGACCCAAACTCTCAGGAAAACCTCACCTATCCATCGCTGATAAAGAAATGCACAGTAGCCCCAGACACAGGTTTACTGCTTTTCCCGATGTACATCACATTTAAAGGCCTCCGCAGAGGTGTAACCTCTGCTGAGCTTCTGTCATCAAAAATAATTGACCAACAGACATTTGAAAATCTACATGATGGTAAAACCACCACCCAGGACGTGATGTTAATGGAAACGGTTAAAGAATATCTAGAAGGTCAAAAGAGCATTGGGGGAGTAGCTGTGCTCTCCACAAATAAGAAAATGAGCATCTATCAGGCAATGAGACAAGGAATAATCATGCCTGGTTCTGCTTTGATTCTGCTAGAAGCACAGGCTGCAACTGGATTCATGATTGACCCTGTTGAAAACAAGACATTCACTGTAGATGCAGCCATTAAACAAAAACTTGTAGGACCAGAATACCATGCAAAATTGCTTGCAGCAGAACGTGCAGTTACTGGTTACAAGGACCCATACACTGGTGAAACCATTTCTCTTTTTCAAGCTCTGAAGAAGGAACTGATTGTGAAGGAGCATGGAATCCGCTTGCTTGAAGCACAAATTGCAACTGGTGGAATTATTGACCCCATATACAGTCATAGAGTTCCTGTGGATGTAGCATACAAGCGTGGCTTCTTTGATGAGGAAATGAATGCCATCCTTAAGGATCCTGAAGATGACACTAAAGGATTCTTTGACCCAAACACAAAGGATAATCTGACATATCTACAACTGCTGGATCATTGTGTCATTGACTCTTCTACAGGACTTACATTGTTGCCCATTCAGGATACATCTGGTAGTCTGAATCACACATTCATTGGCTATGACATCAAAAAAGTATTCAAGGGTGTCATGGTGAAAGTGACACATGGTAAATACATTGGAATGACTGTTTCACTCTGGGAATTACTTATGTCTGAATACTTCACTGAACAGCAAAGGCTAGACTTTATCCAGCAATACAGAAACAGAACAGTCACGGTTGAATTTATCGTCACTAAAGTCCTGGAGATCATTGAACATTCAGTGAAAACAGCTAAAGTAGTTTTTGAAGGTATAAGGGAAAAAGTAAGTGCAAACCAGCTCTTTGAGGCTGATATCATCACAGAGCATGATCTAGAAGATCTCAGAGAAGGAAAAAAGACTGTCAAAGATGTTACGGAGAATGTATCTGTGCATACATATCTACAAGGCAAACCAAGCATTGCTGGTGTGCTGCTTCCTGACTCACAAGTGATGTCAATCTACCAAGCCAGACAAAAAGGGATTCTGAGGCCAGGAACATCACTTGTTCTTCTTGAAGCCCAGGCTGCAACAGGATACATAATTGACCCAATTGCTAATCTAAAGTTCTCTGTAGATGATGCAGTGAAGGCACGGGTGGTAGGGGCTGATCTTCATGCAAAACTATCCTCAGCAGAGAAGGCAGTGACAGGTTACCATGATCCATACACTGGCAAGAAAATCTCATTGTTCCAAGCAATGCAAAAAGATTTAATTGTGAAAGATCATGGTATACGTCTACTAGAGGCCCAGATTGCCACAGGGGGCATTATTGATCCTGTAAATAGCCATCGCATTCCAGTTCATATTGCTTATAAACGAGGATTCTTTGATAGTGAAATGAATCAGACCCTTTGTGATCCAACTGATGACACAAAAGGATTCTTTGACCCAAACACTCATGAAAACCTTACCTATATGCAGCTTATGTCCAGATGTGTCACTGACCAAAGCACGGGCCTTTGCCTTTTGATAATCAAAGGGAACGACAAGAGAGTCAAGATAGGGGACAGCACCAAAGAGGCCTTCCACACCACGCATGTCTCTGTGCGATACGGCAGATTCAGCAGCAAGAAAGTGACACTCTGGGATCTCATCAACTCAGAATATTTGTCTGAGGAGAAAAGACAGGAGCTGTTAAAATGTTACAAGTCAAAAGCAATCACAATTGAAGAAATCATCACAATAGTTTTAGAGATCATTGAGCGCAAAGAAGTACAAAGAAATGCTGACCTCAGTGTAGATGGTCTCAGGGGAAAAGTTTCGATTTTGGAGCTGCTGAATTTGGGAATAATAGATGACAATAAATACAAAAATGTTATTGAGGGGAAGCTGACAATCAAAGATCTCATTGAGACGGGCACTTTGAGGAACTTCCTCAGCGGAACAAGCTGTATCGCAGGTGTAATATTACAAAAGTCTAATCAGAAAATGAGCATCTACAACGCCAGAAAAGAAGGCCATCTTACCCCTGGCACTGCATTGTGTCTTCTTGAAGCACAGGCTGCCACTGGGTTTATTATTGATCCAATACAAAACAAGAAACTCACCGTTGATGAGGCACTGAAGCAGAAAATCATAGTTCCAGAGTTGTATGAAAAACTCCTGGCTGCTGAGAAAGCAGTGACTGGTTACAAAGACCCATACACAGGCAAGACAATATCACTTTTCGAAGCAATCAAGAAAGAACTTATTGTAAAGCAGCATGGCATTCGTCTGCTTGAAGCCCAGATTGCTACAGGTGGCATCATTGATCCCTTAACATGTTTACATTTGCCACTTGATGTTGCTTTCCGGAAGGGTTATTTTGATTCTGACTTAAACCAGATACTTGCTGATCAAACCGATGACACTAAAGGATTTTTTGATCCCACCACACAAGAAAATCTGACTTACATGGAGATGATCGCACGATGCATAAAGGATCCCCATACTGGTCTTTTACTTCTTCCAGTTGCCGAAAAAGGGAAAACACAAGAGAAATCACAAAAAATCATCTCCGACGTTGAGATTAAGGAAGAATTTGAGAAAAACAAAGTTGTCATTCGTGTTGGCCGTTTCTCTGGAAAATCACTGTCTCTTTGGGAGATAATTCATTCTGTATACTTCACAGATGAACAGAGGCAGCAGTACTTTGAACAATTTTGTTTGGGCAAGATAAATATCAAGGATGTTGAAACCGTGGTTACCACAACTATTGAAACACTAGAACAGAAAGAAGCAGCTCCTCAAACAACAATGGGCCTGAGAAAACCCGTTTCTGTGCAACAGCTGCATGAGTCTGGAATCATTGACACCAGTACTTACAAAGCACTGCAACTTGGTAAGGAGACCCTTGGAAATGTGGTTAAACTTGAATCTGTTCAAAGGTATTTGAAGGGCACTGGAAGTATTGCTGGAGTGAAGCTTCATCCATCAGGAAAAGTGTTAAGCTTAAACATGGCAAAAACTGAAGGCTTACTCACTTCCAATGCAGCACTGTTGCTGCTTGAGGCTCAGGCAGCAACTGGATATGTTATCGATCCAATCAAAAACACACATCACTCAGTCATGGAGGCTGTCAGAGGTCAACTTATTGGACCAGAGATATTGGAGCACTTGCTATTGGCTGAACGTGCTGTCACTGGCTTCACAGACCCATACACAGATGAGCAGATCTGCTTATTTGAAGCTATGAATAAAGGTCTCATCCCTCGGAAACATGGACTGAACCTCTTAGATGCACAGCTTGCCACAGGGGGAATTATTGATCCAACGGGAAGCTATCGGTTGCCTGTTCAAAAAGCAATTATGAAAGGATGCTTGAATAAGGAGACCAGTGATCTTCTGGCAAATCTTAGTAAAAGTGAAAAAGGGTTTTCAGACCCCCAAACAAAAGAACCTCTTACCTACCATCAGCTCATGACGAAATGTGAAAAGAATTCAACAACCGGCATGCTGCTTCTCCCAATAACTGAAAAGAGTGCTGAAAGCTCAACCTTCAATGACAAACAAATAATAAATGTCCTCAAAGAAAAATCAGTGATCATCAATGCTGGAAAGTTTGCAGACAAACGTGTATCACTTTGGGATGTACTACACTCAGAGTATATATCTGCAGAGAAGAGAAACGAATTACTTGAACAATACAAACAAAAGACACTATCAATAGAGGAGATAACAGAAATGGTGACAGTAATGACTATTGAGGTAAGCACAAAAAGGCATTCCTTTAAAGGTCTGAGAAAACAAGTGTCAGCAAGTGAACTATTTGAAGCAAAAATCATCTCAAAACAAATGTTTACTAAGCTTATCAATGAAGAAGTAGATGATGAAGATATAAACAATATGGAATCTATTCAAAAATACCTTGGCGCAACAAACTGTATTGCTGGTGTATATGTCCAGTCAACCAAACAGACCATGAGCATTTTTGAAGCAAGAAATAAGGGACTTCTGACACCTGGAACGACTCTGGTTTTACTTGAGGCCCAGGCTGCCACTGGTTTTATGATTGACCCAGAGAAGAACAAAAAGCTTTCAGTAGAGCAGGCGGTGGCAGAAGGGATTGTGGGGATGGAATGGAAAAGCAAACTGATGTCTGCAGAACGGGCAGTAACTGGGTACACAGATCCCTACACAGGCAAAACAATATCCTTGTTCCAGGCCTTAAAAAAAGATCTGATTGTCAAGGACCATGGTATTCGTCTGCTAGAAGCTCAGATTGCTACGGGGGGCATCATTGATCCTGTACACAGCCATCGTGTCCCTGTGGAGGTGGCTTACCAAAGAGGGTACTTTGATGAGGAGATGAACAAGATCCTCTCTGATCCAGATGATGACACCAAGGGTTTCTTTGATCCCAATACACAGGAGAACCTCACATACTTGCAACTTGTGGAGAGGTGTGTTAAAGACCCCAACACTGGCCTGAGCCTCCTTGTGATTGTGAAAAAGGGAGAGTACTACTTCTTCATTGATGAACATACAAAGAATATCCTCAAGTCTGCAACCACAAAGAAAGCAGGAGGTAAATTCCAAGGACAGCTGGTGACACTTTGGGATCTGCTGTATTCAAATTACATATCTGAGGAAAAGAGGAGAGAATTGGTGCAGCAGTTTAAGTCAGGTACAATAACTATTGAACAATTCTTAGAAATAGTTTTGACCTTAGTATCACAGAAATCAGGAACAAGCACCCACACAATTACTACCACCACCACAGCAACAACAACAGAGACAACCCAAAAGAACAACTTCCAAGGTATCAGAAAGGATGTGAGTGCTGATGAGCTGCTGCTATCCAAAGTCATTGATGAGAAAATGTACAAAGACCTAACTACTGGGAAAGTCACAGTTGATCATGTAAGTGAAATAGACTCTGTGCGAAAATACCTGAAAGGGACGAACTGCATTGCTGGTGTATTTGTGCAGTCTACCAAACAGACCGTGAGCATAAGCGAAGCCAAAACTAAGGGACTTCTAACACCAGGAACGTCTTTGGTTTTACTTGAGGCACAGGCTGCCACTGGCTTTATGATTGACCCAGTGAAGAACAAAAAACTGTCAGTAGAGCAGGCGGTGGCAGAAGGGATTGTGGGGATGGAATGGAAAAGCAAACTGATGTCTGCAGAGCGGGCAGTGACTGGGTACACCGATCCCTACACAGGCAAAACAATCTCTTTGTTCCAGGCCTTAAAAAAAGATCTGATTGTCAAGGACCATGGTATTCGTCTGCTAGAAGCTCAGATTGCTACGGGGGGCATCATTGATCCTGTGCACAGCCATCGTGTCCCTGTGGAGGTGGCTTACCAAAGAGGTTACTTTGATGAGGAGATGAACAAGATCCTCTCTGATCCAGATGATGACACCAAGGGTTTCTTTGATCCCAACACACAGGAGAACCTCACATACTTGCAACTTGTGGAGAGGTGTGTTAAAGACCCTAACACTGGCCTGAGCCTCCTTGTGATTGTGAAAAAGGGAGAGTACTACTTCTTCATTGATGAACATACAAAGAATATCCTCAAGTCTGCAACCACAAAGAAAGCAGGAGGTAAATTCCAAGGACAGCTGGTGACACTTTGGGATCTGCTGTATTCAAATTACATATCTGAGGAAAAGAGGAGAGAACTGGTGCAGCAGTTTAAGTCAGGTACAATAACTATTGAACAATTCTTAGAAATAGTTCTGACCTTAGTATCACAGAAATCAGGAACAAGCACCCAGACAATTACTACCACCACCACAGCAACAACAGAAACAACCCAACAGCACAACTTCCAAGGTATCAGAAAGGATGTGAGTGCTAATGAGCTGCTGCTATCCAAAGTCATTGATGAGAAAATGTACAAAGACCTAACTACTGGAAAAGTCACAGTTGATCATGTAAGTGAAATAGACTCTGTGCGAAAATACCTGAAAGGGACGAACTGCATTGCTGGTGTATTTGTGCAGTCTACCAAACAGACCGTGAGCATAAGCGAAGCCAAAAATAAGGGACTTCTAACACCAGGAACGTCTTTGGTTTTACTTGAGGCCCAGGCTGCCACTGGCTTTATGATTGACCCAGTAAAGAACAAAAAACTGTCAGTAGAGCAGGCGGTGGCAGAAGGGATTGTGGGGATGGAATGGAAAAGCAAACTGATGTCTGCAGAGCGGGCAGTGACTGGGTACACCGATCCCTACACAGGCAAAACAATCTCTTTGTTCCAGGCCTTAAAAAAAGATCTGATTGTCAAGGACCATGGTATTCGTCTGCTAGAAGCTCAGATTGCTACGGGGGGCATCATTGATCCTGTGCACAGCCATCGTGTCCCTGTGGAGGTGGCTTACCAAAGAGGGTACTTTGATGAGGAGATGAACAAGATCCTCTCTGATCCAGATGATGACACCAAGGGTTTCTTTGATCCCAACACACAGGAGAACCTCACATACTTGCAACTTGTGGAGAGGTGTGTTAAAGACCCCCAGACTGGCCTGAGCCTCCTTGTAATTGTGAAAAAGGGCGAGTACTACTTCTTCATTGATGAACATACAAAGAATATCCTCAAGTCTACAACCACAAAGAAAGCAGGAGGTAAATTCCAAGGACAGCTTGTGACTCTTTGGGATCTGCTGTATTCAAATTACATATCCGAGGAAAAGAGGAGAGAACTGGTGCAGCAGTTTAAGTCAGGTACAATAACTATTGAACAATTCTTAGAAATAGTTCTGACCTTAGTATCACAGAAATCAGGAACAAGCACCCAGACAATTACTACCATCACCACAGCAACAACAGAGACAACCCAACAGCACAACTTCCAAGGTATCAGAAAGGATGTGAGTGCTGATGAGTTGCTGCTATCCAAAGTCATTGATGAGAAAATGTACAAAGACCTAACTACTGGAAAAGTCACAGTTGATCATGTAAGTGAAATAGACTCTGTGCGAAAATACCTGAGAGGGACAAACTGCATTGCTGGTGTATTTGTGCAGTCTACCAAACAGACCATGAGCATAATCAAAGCCAAAAATAAGGGACTTCTAACACCAGGAACGTCTTTGGTTTTACTTGAGGCCCAGGCTGCCACTGGCTTTATGATTGACCCAGTAAAGAACAAAAAACTGTCAGTAGAGCAGGCAGTGACTGAAGGGATTGTTGGAACAGAATGGAAAAGCAAACTGCTGTCTGCAGAGCGGGCAGTTACTGGTTACACAGACCCCAGCACGGGAAAAACAATCTCCTTGTTCCAGGCCTTAAAAAAAGATCTGATTGTCAAGGACCATGGTATTCGTCTGCTAGAAGCTCAGATTGCTACGGGGGGCATCATTGATCCTGTGCACAGCCATCGTGTCCCTGTGGAGGTGGCTTACCAAAGAGGTTACTTTGATGAGGAGATGAACAAGATCCTCTCTGATCCAGATGATGACACCAAGGGTTTCTTTGATCCCAACACACAGGAGAACCTCACATACTTGCAACTTGTGGAGAGGTGTGTTAAAGACCCTAACACTGGCCTGAGCCTCCTTGTGATTGTGAAAAAGGGAGAGTACTACTTCTTCATTGATGAACATACAAAGAATATCCTCAAGTCTGCAACCACAAAGAAAGCAGGAGGTAAATTCCAAGGACAGCTGGTGACACTTTGGGATCTGCTGTATTCAAATTACATATCTGAGGAAAAGAGGAGAGAACTGGTGCAGCAGTTTAAGTCAGGTACAATAACTATTGAACAATTCTTAGTAATAGTTCTGACCTTAGTATCACAGAAATCAGGAACAAGCACCCAGACAATTACTACCACCACCACAGCAACAACAGAGACAACCCAACAGCACAACTTCCAAGGTATCAGAAAGGATGTGAGTGCTAATGAGTTGCTGCTATCCAAAGTCATTGATGAGAAAATGTACAAAGACCTAACTACTGGAAAAGTCACAGTTGATCATGTAAGTGAAATAGACTCTGTGCGAAAATACCTGAAAGGGACAAACTGTATTGCTGGTGTATTTGTGCAGTCTACCAAACAGACCATGAGCATAAGTGAAGCCAAAAATAAGGGACTTCTAACACCAGGAACGTCTTTGGTTTTACTTGAGGCCCAGGCTGCCACTGGCTTTATGATTGACCCAGTGAAGAACAAAAAACTGTCAGTAGAGCAGGCGGTGACTGAAGGGATTGTTGGAACAGAATGGAAAACCAAACTGCTGTCTGCAGAGCGGGCAGTTACTGGTTACACAGACCCCAGCACGGGAAAAACAATCTCCTTGTTCCAGGCCTTAAAACAAGATCTGATTGTCAAGGACCATGGTATTCGTCTGCTAGAAGCTCAGATTGCTACGGGGGGCATCATTGATCCTGTGCACAGCCATCGTGTCCCTGTGGAGGTGGCTTACCAAAGAGGGTACTTTGATGAGGAGATGAACAAGATCCTCTCTGATTCAGATGATGACACCAAGGGTTTCTTTGATCCCAACACACAGGAGAACCTCACATACCTGCAACTTGTGGAGAGGTGTGTTAAAGACCCCAAGACTGGCCTGAGCCTCCTTGTAATTGTGAAAAAGGGCGAGTATTACTTCTTCACTGATGAACATACAAAGAATATACTCAAGTCTACAACCACAAAGAAAGCAGGAGGTAAATTCCAAGGACAGCTTGTGACTCTTTGGGATCTGCTGTATTCAAATTACATATCCGAGGAAAAGAGGAGAGAACTGGTGCAGCAGTTTAAGTCAGGTACAATAACTATTGAACAATTCTTAGAAATAGTTCTGACCTTAGTATCACAGAAATCAGGAACAAGCACCCAGACAATTACTACCACCACCACAGCAACAACAACAGAGACAACCCAAAAGAACAACTTCCAAGGTATCAGAAAGGATGTGAGTGCTGATGAGCTGCTGCTATCCAAAATCATTGATGAGAAAATGTACAAAGACCTAACTACTGGAAAAGTCACAGTTAATCATGTAAGTGAAATAGACTCTGTGCGAAAATACCTGAAAGGGACGAACTGCATTGCTGGTGTATTTGTGCAGTCTACCAAACAGACCGTGAGCATAAGCGAAGCCAAAACTAAGGGACTTCTAACACCAGGAACGTCTTTGGTTTTACTTGAGGCACAGGCTGCCACTGGCTTTATGATTGACCCAGTGAAGAACAAAAAACTGTCAGTAGAGCAGGCGGTGGCAGAAGGGATTGTGGGGATGGAATGGAAAAGCAAACTGATGTCTGCAGAGCGGGCAGTGACTGGGTACACCGATCCCTACACAGGCAAAACAATCTCTTTGTTCCAGGCCTTAAAAAAAGATCTGATTGTCAAGGACCATGGTATTCGTCTGCTAGAAGCTCAGATTGCTACGGGGGGCATCATTGATCCTGTGCACAGCCATCGTGTCCCTGTGGAGGTGGCTTACCAAAGAGGGTACTTTGATGAGGAGATGAACAAGATCCTCTCTGATCCAGATGATGACACCAAGGGTTTCTTTGATCCCAACACACAGGAGAACCTCACATATTTGCAACTTGTGGAGAGGTGTGTTAAAGACCCCCAGACTGGCCTGAGCCTCCTTGTAATTGTGAAAAAGGGCGAGTACTACTTCTTCATTGATGAACATACAAAGAATATCCTCAAGTCTACAACCACAAAGAAAGCAGGAGGTAAATTCCAAGGACAGCTTGTGACTCTTTGGGATCTGCTGTATTCAAATTACATATCCGAGGAAAAGAGGAGAGAACTGGCGCAGCAGTTTAAGTCAGGTACAATAACTATTGAACAATTCTTAGAAATAGTTCTGACCTTAGTATCACAGAAATCAGGAACAAGCACCCAGACAATTACTACCACCACCACAGCAACAACAGAGACAACCCAACAGCACAACTTCCAAGGTATCAGAAAGGATGTGAGTGCTAATGAGTTGCTGCTATCCAAAGTCATTGATGAGAAAATGTACAAAGACCTAACTACTGGAAAAGTCACAGTTGATCATGTAAGTGAAATAGACTCTGTGCGAAAATACCTGAAAGGGACAAACTGCATTGCTGGTGTATTTGTGCAGTCTACCAAACAGACCATGAGCATAATCAAAGCCAAAAATAAGGGACTTCTAACACCAGGAACGTCTTTGGTTTTACTTGAGGCCCAGGCTGCCACTGGCTTTATGATTGACCCAGTAAAGAACAAAAAACTGTCAGTAGAGCAGGCAGTGACTGAAGGGATTGTTGGAACAGAATGGAAAAGCAAACTGCTGTCTGCAGAGCGGGCAGTAACTGGTTACACAGACCCCAGCACGGGAAAAACAATCTCCTTGTTCCAGGCCTTAAAAAAAGATCTGATTGTCAAGGACCATGGTATTCGTCTGCTAGAAGCTCAGATTGCTACGGGGGGCATCATTGATCCTGTGCACAGCCATCGTGTCCCTGTGGAGGTGGCTTACCAAAGAGGTTACTTTGATGAGGAGATGAACAAGATCCTCTCTGATCCAGATGATGACACCAAGGGTTTCTTTGATCCCAACACACAGGAGAACCTCACATACTTGCAACTTGTGGAGAGGTGTGTTAAAGACCCTAACACTGGCCTGAGCCTCCTTGTGATTGTGAAAAAGGGAGAGTACTACTTCTTCATTGATGAACATACAAAGAATATCCTCAAGTCTGCAACCACAAAGAAAGCAGGAGGTAAATTCCAAGGACAGCTGGTGACACTTTGGGATCTGCTGTATTCAAATTACATATCTGAGGAAAAGAGGAGAGAACTGGTGCAGCAGTTTAAGTCAGGTACAATAACTATTGAACAATTCTTAGAAATAGTTCTGACCTTAGTATCACAGAAATCAGGAAAAAGCACCCAGACAATTACTACCACCACCACAGCAACAACAGAGACAACCCAACAGCACAACTTCCAAGGTATCAGAAAGGATGTGAGTGCTAATGAGTTGCTGCTATCCAAAGTCATTGATGAGAAAATGTACAAAGACCTAACTACTGGAAAAGTCACAGTTGATCATGTAAGTGAAATAGACTCTGTGCGAAAATACCTGAAAGGGACAAACTGTATTGCTGGTGTATTTGTGCAGTCTACCAAACAGACCATGAGCATAAGTGAGGCCAAAAATAAGGGACTTCTAACACCAGGAACGTCTTTGGTTTTACTTGAGGCCCAGGCTGCCACTGGCTTTATGATTGACCCAGTGAAGAACAAAAAACTGTCAGTAGAGCAGGCGGTGACTGAAGGGATTGTTGGAACAGAATGGAAAAGCAAACTGCTGTCTGCAGAGCGGGCAGTTACTGGTTACACAGACCCCAGCACGGGAAAAACAATCTCCTTGTTCCAGGCCTTAAAACAAGATCTGATTGTCAAGGACCATGGTATTCGTCTGCTAGAAGCTCAGATTGCTACGGGGGGCATCATTGATCCTGTGCACAGCCATCGTGTCCCTGTGGAGGTGGCTTACCAAAGAGGGTACTTTGATGAGGAGATGAACAAGATCCTCTCTGATTCAGATGATGACACCAAGGGTTTCTTTGATCCCAACACACAGGAGAACCTCACATACCTGCAACTTGTGGAGAGGTGTGTTAAAGACCCCAATACTGGCCTGAGCCTCCTTGTAATTGTGAAAAAGGGCGAGTATTACTTCTTCACCGATGAACATACAAAGAATATACTCAAGTCTACAACCACAAAGAAAGCAGGAGGTAAATTCCAAGGACAGCTTGTGACTCTTTGGGATCTGCTGTATTCAAATTACATATCCGAGGAAAAGAGGAGAGAACTGGTGCAGCAGTTTAAGTCAGGTACAATAACTATTGAACAATTCTTAGAAATAGTTCTGACCTTAGTATCACAGAAATCAGGAACAAGCACCCAGACAATTACTACCACCACCACAGCAACAACAACAGAGACAACCCAAAAGAACAACTTCCAAGGTATCAGAAAGGATGTGAGTGCTGATGAGCTGCTGCTATCCAAAGTCATTGATGAGAAAATGTACAAAGACCTAACTACTGGAAAAGTCACAGTTGATCATGTAAGTGAAATAGACTCTGTGCGAAAATACCTGAAAGGGACGAACTGCATTGCTGGTGTATTTGTGCAGTCTACCAAACAGACCGTGAGCATAAGCGAAGCCAAAAATAAGGGACTTCTAACACCAGGAACGTCTTTGGTTTTACTTGAGGCACAGGCTGCCACTGGCTTTATGATTGACCCAGTGAAAAACAAAAAACTGTCAGTAGAGCAGGCGGTGGCAGAAGGGATTGTGGGGATGGAATGGAAAAGCAAACTGATGTCTGCAGAGCGGGCAGTGACTGGGTACACCGATCCCTACACAGGCAAAACAATCTCTTTGTTCCAGGCCTTAAAAAAAGATCTGATTGTCAAGGACCATGGTATTCGTCTGCTAGAAGCTCAGATTGCTACGGGGGGCATCATTGATCCTGTGCACAGCCATCGTGTCCCTGTGGAGGTGGCTTACCAAAGAGGGTACTTTGATGAGGAGATGAACAAGATCCTCTCTGATCCAGATGATGACACCAAGGGTTTCTTTGATCCCAACACACAGGAGAACCTCACATACTTGCAACTTGTGGAGAGGTGTGTTAAAGACCCCCTGACTGGCCTGAGCCTCCTTGTAATTGTGAAAAAGGGCGAGTACTACTTCTTCATTGATGAACATACAAAGAATATCCTCAAGTCTACAACCACAAAGAAAGCAGGAGGTAAATTCCAAGGACAGCTTGTGACTCTTTGGGATCTGCTGTATTCAAATTACATATCCGAGGAAAAGAGGAGAGAACTGGTGCAGCAGTTTAAGTCAGGTACAATAACTATTGAACAATTCTTAGAAATAGTTCTGACCTTAGTATCACAGAAATCAGGAACAATCACCCAGACAATTACTACCACCACCACAGCAACAACAGAGACAACCCAACAGCACAACTTCCAAGGTATCAGAAAGGATGTGAGTGCTGATGAGTTGCTGCTATCCAAAGTCATTGATGAGAAAATGTACAAAGACCTAACTACTGGAAAAGTCACAGTTGATCATGTAAGTGAAATAGACTCCGTGCGAAAATACCTGAAAGGGACGAACTGCATTGCTGGTGTATTTGTGGAGTCTACCAAACAGACCATGAGCATAATCAAAGCCAAAAATAAGGGACTTCTAACACCAGGAACGTCTTTGGTTTTACTTGAGGCACAGGCTGCCACTGGCTTTATGATGGACCCAGTGAAGAATAAAAAACTGTCAGTAGAGCAGGCGGTGACTGAAGGGATTGTTGGAGCAGAATGGAAAAGCAAACTGCTGTCTGCAGAGCGGGCAGTTACTGGTTACACAGACCCCAGCACAGGAAAAACAATCTCCTTGTTCCAGGCCTTAAAAAAAGATCTGATTGTCAAGGACCATGGTATTCGTCTGCTAGAAGCTCAGATTGCTACGGGGGGCATCATTGATCCTGTGCACAGCCATCGTGTCCCTGTGGAGGTGGCGTACCAAAGAGGGTACTTTGATGAGGAGATGAACAAGATCCTCTCAGATCCAGATGATGACACCAAGGGTTTCTTTGATCCCAACACACAGGAGAACCTCACATACTTGCAACTTGTGGAGAGGTGTGTTAGAGACCCAAAGACTGGGCTGAGTCTGCTTGCTTTAAAAAAGTAGAGTTAAGATTGGATGCAATATCCCATGCAAACTATTCATGCTTTGTTAACTACAATCATACTCTTCTCTTCCTACTTATTCCATTTGCAAATCTGTAAGTGTATCATTTAAGTGTATACCATTTCAGTTTCAGTGTGCATTGTTTATATTAGAGTTTAAGATAACTTCACTTTCTAGTTTTACACTTGTAAAGTAAAGTTACTGCTTTCTGGCTACATGTTCAAAACAATACAAATAAACTTACAGCTGCAACACGTTATTTTATTTCATAATTCTCAAGTCAGTAATCTCTTTCATTATAAAGATTGTGTTTTTTATTAAACATGGCTTGTTTACATTATCATAATTTCACAACATTTGACATTTATTGCATTCCAGCACATGAACATGAGAAAAATTTTAGCAGAGTTGGACAGTAAAGATACACAAATATATATGGGTTCTTTATTGGCAAGTCTAACTTTACATGGGAAAAGGCTTTATATATACAAATCACAACACAAATACACTTTAAAAACAACTGAATTAAATTAACTATTAAAGTTAGACTTGTCTAACTTTACATGAGAAAAGGCTTTATATTTATATACAAATCACAACACACACAAATACCACATTTAAGTACACTTTAAAAACAACTGAATTAAATGAACTATTAAAGTTCCGACAATAAATAGGCTACATGTTCAGCCTAATTTGTCCAGGAGAAGCTGAATGTCTTCTTGACCATGATATACTCTTTTGAGCCCTCTGGGCAGATACCGGCAAGACGACAGATTCAAGTACTTCAGAGCTGGTGCCTGGGTTATTAGCAACCTATGAAACAATAATAAATGGTACCAGAACATCTTTACCAATCTACTGAAAATTAAGAAAAGCCTTGTAATCTCTATTATATTAATAAACTCTTGTCAACAAGTGTTAATGGGTGGTAAGTCTTCTGGCAGGCACTATAAGCATGTGAGCAACTACAAAGGTAATCCTTACCTGAGTGTAGATGAAGTGATTTTTGTACCACTGAGGTTCAGGGAGCGAAACAAATCGACTCCAGCAGCATGTGCAAGATATCCCATGGCAATCTCCATATCTTCCTCAGAAAATGGCTGGTTGGCCAAATCAAGCTCCCTGAGGGTGCTGCTCCATTTCTGGGCAAGCATGTGTATGCCTTTCTTGGATGCTACCATGGTATTGCTATTGAAGTACAGGCCCCAATATAGACACTCCAGTTCTAAGACAGGGCAGCAAATTAAGGGAAAAGCAGCATATTATTGCATCCCTGAAATTCATAGGTATGATTAAATCCTTTTATACTGTGAACTCCATCAAACCATGTGCTATTCATAGCTCTATGTGGCTTAAATATTACATTCACTACTGTTTGAGGTACATCAATGCTTACTCTCTTGTTATTTCAAAATCGAAACTTACTCTCAAAAGGCAGAGCGTAGAGGCCTGTGGCTGTGATGCGGGAGGCACCACGCAGGTCTAGCACACGCAGGTGGGGGGAGCCATGCAGCACATTGTTCAGGTCACTGTCCGTCATGAAAGAGTGAGAGGAAGTGGCAATGCACAGCTCCTCTAGCATGGGAAAACCGGACGTTGAACTAGGCGTGTTGCGGATCATTTTAGGAACTGGAGTGACATTCATCAATCTAAAAGTCTAAATAATAAAATAATTTAAAAGAGAAGAAAAAAATAAGATTGTAATACTTTACATTTGTAGTACAATTTTTTATAAATTCTCATTCTACATCACCATTAATAACACTTAGAGCAGGGATGGGCAGCTCGAGTCCTGGAGGGCTACTCTCTTGTGGAGTTAAGCTCCGACCCTGATAAAAACTCACCTGCTTGTAGCTTTTTTTTAGTAATCCTGAAGACATTGATTAGCTGGTTCAGGTGTGTTTGCTTAGGGTTCGAGCTAGACTCAGCAGCACAGTGGCCCTCCAGGATTGAAGTTGCCCATCCCTTACTTACGGGAATGTCAGGGTTGCTGCACATTTTTTAAAGTAAAATTTAAGGCTTTTTAAGACCTGGAGAAATTATTAAGTACAAATTAATACTATACATTAGTAGTGTGCAATATTAACAAACATTTTTGTTGATGACAATAATTATATTTTGCTGAGCGTGTTTTTGTGCTGGTACCATGGCTGGTTGTGGACAGCTGACTCACAAAGACATTCATTTTATTGATATTCTATGTGGTGGTCAGTTCACAGCAGTGACAGAAATCAACTTTTTTATTAAGGGGCAATATTTGCCAACTTAAATTGATTTCCAGGGGCTTTTTTCCCTAAACTTATTAGATGCATGCATCTCCCTTTATTCAAATTAAATTAAATTATAATAACACAGTATAGGGCTGTTACCAATATAATAATTTGCAGTGCGGAGGTGACACAGAAGCGGCATTAATATACAGTAGTCAACATTTGAAGTGGATCAAAACCTTTCATCAAAGTTATACATGAATTTGGAACTTTGACAACTTTAACTTTTTTGATCCACTTCAAATGTTGACTACTGCATTTACAATTACATAAATAATGCTATTAGATTTTTTATTCAATATTTAAATATGAGATGATTTCTCATTTTTCAACTTAATTAAAAGGTACTTTAAATATGAAACTAAAACCAGGTGTAGGTGGCGTATAACAGTATACATACCCAAGTATTTAGATATGTCTAAGTCAAAATGCCATCTTAAATTTCAGACCTCACGGAAATGTAAGACCTTCCTCAAATTTTACAAATCTAATGTAATACCTAATGTGTGCAAATGTTTTTTAGAATGACAAACAATAACTGCACTTAATTGAGAAAATACAGTTATACATCACCTCTTGTGCACTTTCTTGTATATTGAATTGGTAAGTTTACATGTACATGAAGATCACAAAACATTTTAGTTTAATACCTGAAGTTTAGGGCATCCAATCTGCAAAGCCTGAATACAGATGGGAAGCTGGCAGTATCCTCCATCTAATTTAGTATTGATCTCCAGAAGCCTGAGCTCTGGACAGCAACCTTTCTTTAAATTCAGAGACATTTCCCTCATCAGGAACTAACAAACATACAGTAACAACTTGAGTCACATTAAGTAAAAAGGATTAATATTAACTTACAGACAACCCACTGAGCAGTTTGTCACTTTTGGTGCTGTGTGTGAAGTAAATTTTCTTTATTTGGTTGCCGTACGCCTCAAGGAAGGACACCAGACCATCAACATTAAACTATATTAAAAAAAGGACACAAAACAGGTAGCATGTGATGGTAACAAGGGGTAGCATATGGTGGATCAGTGAAACACGCTCGGTAAAGTAAAAACAAAAGAATGAATGTGGCATACTACTATAATGGACAAAAATACTCCAGGAGTCACTTTCTTAAAAGAAAAGTTCACATTAAAAGAAAATTCAAAACCCCTTTGACAGTGGTCTCATTTAGTTGTTTTAACATTTGTTTTGACTGATTATATTTTGTGATTCGTCCAATTCCACACATGTGGAGGTTGAAACCACTTTTGACCACATTGTGCTTGTAACATAAGCACTCATGCAACTGAACAACAGTGAATGACTGATTACTAACCTGTCAATCAAAAACTAAACTAAAACAGGGATTTAGAAAAGCAGATACATATGCACAAGACTTCATGGATATTTTGGGAGAACCGGTTTTAGGAGAATTTTGCACTTTATCAACACAATATAGTGGTCACAGTGACGGAGTGCGCAGCACCGCTTTAAGTCAAACACACCAATTGAAACACGTCACTACCAGGTGTAAATAGCAATGTGTTTTGACTGACCACTTGAGAATGGATCACCTGCAGTAGCGTTGTTAAACACCACGCAATCGCTGACCAAGCAATTAATTCAGTTGATGACTGCTGTTACAGCAGCGCTGTTGACCTCATTTATTATTACATATAAACATTGCTTCTGTAACCAAATTTAGAATGCTGCAAATATTGTTCGCTGATCAATGTTTATATGTGAATAAGCCTAAATTAAATCTGCTCATCATTAAAAGCAATCGTGTCTCCTCTTGGATTAAACTGCTCGATTCATGATTCTTAATGAACGTTTTGAAGCATCAGAGTTACAGTATGGGTGTATAGACTTTCAATGGAGGGACAGAAATCTCCCAGATTTCATTAAAATAGGCTAGTATCTTCACATTTGTGTCTTGAAGATGCACGAAAGTCATATGGGTTTGGAACGACATGAGGTTGAGTAAATGATAGCATTTTAATCTTTAGGTGAACTAACACTAACCAAATGGGTGTGCGCGCTTTGACGCTGAGCCAGAAATGCTTGTCATATGTCATATTTAACTGTGCAGTTTTTTTTCCAACAACAACAACAACGTTTAATTTAGGTTTCATTTAAATACACGTAATACTAACAAAAAATTCATGGTAACACTTTATTTTGATGGTCCCATTTGAACATACTATTGACTATAAGTAGCTTTGCAACTACATGTCAAATAACTCTCATTAGAGTATTAGTAGACTGTCTGCTTAATATCTGCCAACTCTTTATTGTGATGCTCCTCCAACAGACAATCTACTGACTATAAGTAACTTTGCAACTACATGTCAACTTATTCTATCCCTAACCCTACCAGTCTACTGATACTCTACTAACACTCTAGTGAGAGTTAGTAGAGATGTAGGTGCAACGTTACTTATAGTCAAATGAATGTGTTAAAGGGACCATCCAAATAAAGTGAAACCAAATTCATATTTAGTTCGTAAAATACACACTGATGTGATGTCTATGGAAGCGGCAATTAAAACTCTTCTAATTTGACATGTTTTATTCATGTCAGAAATACATTGTGTCATTTTAAATATTGAAGACAATGGACAAAATGAAGACTCTTGATGAATCCAAAACCAAGAAGGTTTATATATTAAAGCTTAAGGGAGCAAGTACTAAAGCGTAGACAATTTTTGTTATGCAGTGCAAAATAAAATAAATATATTTTTTTACATTTCTCACTTAATTCTATTAAATATTACTGTTGTGCAATTCAGGGCAAAATGTTACATAATGTCCCAACAACTCCCCAGAGTGGGGTGTAGGGATCCTGACTTTGCTTAGGGCCCCCAAAATGGTAAACCCACCCCTGATCACCTGAATTAATACCAGGTGTAAAATATTTTTGTCTATACTGAGAATACAGGCCACTCTTTTCCATGCAACTACAGTGACAGAAGCTTTTCAAAGATGCAAAATTAAAAAAAATATATATCATTAAGTAGTCCATATGACATTATATACACCAAAGTATCCTATTTTCTGTTCCACAGAAGAAAGTAAGCCATACAGGTTTGGAATAACATCAGGGTGACTAAAACTTTCATTTTGGGGTAAGAGACCCTTTAAATCTAGGTAAACAATCATCTAATAATTACATACAAACCTCTGAGTGTTGCACATTTATATTCTCCAATGAACGACAGTCAGCGCCAAGGCTTTGGAAGGCTGTTTCTGTCATTCCCGTGCAGTAAGACAGCTTGAGCGAATGAAGATTGTGGCATGATTGTGAAACTTTCTAGAAAAACAGAGCACAGTCCCTGATTATATAATACAGAACAACACTCCCAAAACATTTTTAGAAACAGATTTAGATACCAGAAACAAAATTCCAAAGCAGATTAATTATTATTACCTGAATAACATAGTCAACATGTTTTTTCCAGTGGCAAAGGGAGAACTCTCTCAGCTGAGACAATCTACAGGAAATGAACAACAAAACTTGGATAATTTGCAAGAATTATGCTTTTTGCGATGTAAGTTATTCCAGTGTAAAAACAACAACATCCTTTTATTTGGTTCAACCACTGACCTGTTTTCAGCTAGCCAATCTATCGTGTTCCTAATCTTCTGTTCTGTCCCGGGTAATTGAGTCTTACTGGGTTCAATCCAGCAGTAGCCAATTGACACATTGCGCCACAGGACCGGAGAGGACGCGGCTCCATTCCATAGATGGCAAACTCTACCAACCCTTTTAAAGACAGCAAACAAATGCAACTATAAACATAAAGCAAATATAGTATCTGTAGCAAGTTATAAAGGCTGTAGTACAGAAACTGAATAGCACAAATACGCCGTATGGGCCTCACCTGCACAGAAAAGGAACAGCTCCATCCTGGTGAATTGCAAACTGAAAGATTTTAACCAGGACCTCTATTGGTAAACTCTGACCCCAGTGGTCTAAACTAACAGAATTCGCAGCTTCCAAATCAACATGTGTATCAATCGTTCCTTCTGTGACTTTGGGGACTTTTACTGCTGCTTTTTTGGTTTTGTTAGCAGAGGTTTTACTCTTGCCTTTTTTGTTTCCCTTTTTTTTCTTACATCCCTTGCGCTTGGGCTTCCATATACTGTCACCACTACTTATATTTGATATAATCAAAAGCATGTCCTCTCCCTCCTGGATGGTGTAATTTGGTCTCACAGTTCGCTTGACATTTTTTCTCTTTTTCTTTTTGCTTTTGTCATCCTTAAGAGAATCAGCTTTCCTCTTCAAAGGTCTTTTTGCTTTTGCAGGTGCAGTCTGGGACGTCCCTGGAATGTCCCCCTGGGTGGTTGACATTTCTGCAGAAGGAGCCTGGAGTGAATCTGGCTCTGTGCTTGAATTGGAAACCTGCGTTATTCTATAACAAGTTCTTAAAAATCACTTTAGTAAATTCAACAAAACTTCATGACGACGATTGTAAAGGAAATATTGCAAATTGGCATATTACGCACACCTTACAAATAGTTCATTTAAACTTTATAATCCCTTGCATTGTTGCAGATAGGTTCAACAGCAGTTGTCAGGTCTTCGCTGAAAATCTGGACAATCATGCTTATTTATTTAGCGTTTACAGCTCCATTACTGAAGCATACTCGAAGTACCGTATTGCTCCTTTGTTGTTATTATCCGAGCCCCATGATGCACTAGCGTAAGTCAATGAATGTCGTCATATCCGCTTCCATACCCAGTGGTGAGAGGCTCTGCCTAGCCTGCCCACTCTCGTTTGGAGAATTTTGCAAACCATGCATTACAATTCGTTATGTATGCCATGACTGACTTGTCTTCATGTTTTATGTGGCTGGTGAATCATTGCTGCAACAAAATGGGCATGTACATTTCAATAAAACTTAAATGACAATAAAACGCTTTTGTTTATAGAAGTTAATTGAAAAGGAAACATAATATCAACTATAAGTGCCTACATATGATTTCATTATGACGGATCGGATGGTTTGTTAATAGTTTGTAAAGCTTTACGGAGTTACGCAATGACACGAACGATTCGCAATTTCGCGGAAGCAATGTTTTATGTATAGCCGTTTTATACAAAGAATGCAAGGGGTATATCCAATCAGCGACTCCGCGGTAAACGCACACGTGACTTAACAGGGAAGTCCATGGTGTAGAGTGGACGCTCCTCCGTTTACATGAAAGTTGTTACCAAGACGGAACCCCCCACTCTCTCTACACACTGCAAAGGGTCCAAAGAGAAAAACACGCTACACAAAACACCTACATCCTACTACAAAGCAAATAGAACCGCTGCAGCGCAATACATTGGTGAGTACATTTTGAAATTTCTCACTAAAGCAATAACAGGTATTGTTGTCTATTGAAAATGCATTGCCCTTGGTACATTTTTGTGAATGCTTATTAGTTTTAAACATGTTTACTAAATAACGTTGTTTAAAAGTCTTATCAATGGCAATCTTCCACAGAAATACCAATTCAACACAAAAGGCATGTTTCAAACATCACGATACGGCGCATTCTCGCGCGCTAAAGAGACCAAACAACGAAGAATGCAAACATTCTAGTTTTCAGGCATAGTGCTTATGGTTTTTTTAACTAGTAAAACCAAAATTATCAAAAGTGATATTTAATCAATAATATCAGGAAGTCGATAATAGGCCCCCTTCCCCTTTTTTATATACAAAAAGCAGCCGCGTGAGCAAATGTGGCGTGAACATTTTGTTCCTTGATTATTCAAGGATAACTAACCAATAACCTAACTCGCCCAGTTGATAGAGTGTGTGACCTTGATTTATGCTAGTAAAGTTAGCAGTGATGTAACTATTTTTTGTCCCATGAGCAACTGGTAATTTTCATAACCAATATTTGCAAGGAAACCACAGATACTATAGTTACTATAAATATTATCACGACTGTAAAATAATGGTGAAATAATTCATATGCAATGTAAAAATAGCATTAGATAGCAAATAGCAGGTTACCATGTTACCTTAGTATATTTATAATATATTGTATACCAAAGGATATGTTTTGTAAATCTAAGGACTGAAAAGGCGGAAGATGATTGTTTCATTTTTTCCGTTGAAAATTATTAGAACCCTGTAATACCAATAGGACAATTACGGTCTCAGACAGGTAAGTAACTCCTGTTGTAACGTGATAAAAAAAAAAACCTGAGGAATAATATTGTTTCACGGTTAAGATTAGCTGTGGACTACCATGCTCTGGTCGTTATTACTAAAACATTTATCTGGCCTTTATTTGGAAGTGTGCTCACCGGATGGTTTAAAAAACAAGCCAAGCTACTTTGATGTTCAACAATGGAGGATCTGCAAGACTTGGGTTCCTCTAGTGCCAGTGCTATGACCATCGCTGCTGAGCTCAGTGAGTACCACTTTTTGTCTTGTTTTTCAATGACTTGCAATCAAAACAAACTACTTTTTTTTTTTAAATATCTGCCTTATATATAATAGTTAATTCTATACATAATATATATATATATGAGTCATTGACATTAAAACTTCAAAAAAAGGTGTTTTAAAAATCTTCTCAACTGATGTAATGCATATTTTTGAGTCATGTACAGTTTGTTTAAAAAAGTTTCAGTTGTTAGATAACATTTCAAAGTGTTACATTCGTTTTTTGACTTTTTATGTCAGGCGGTACAACCAAATAATTGTATGTATATATACTGTAGTTGTACCACCTGACATGGAAAGTGTACCAACCTACCCATACTTGAAATTAGCGTATATATTTTTTTACCAGTATTTGAGAGAGATCTACAAATCTTTTCACTCTGCCACAAGGATCAGTTGGGGTCCTCTGGATATGCATTATCAGGTTTACTGTTATTACCATGTCAGTTCATAATAAAAGAGCCACTTTTACAGTTGTGCCACCCTGACATTTAAGAATGTAAAAATAGCTGGAAACAAGTTTTTCAATTAACTTAACAGCTTTAAAACTACTGATATTTATAAAATTAGTTTTTTAGTATTTAGTTAAAAATGTTTTATTATTAAGTCACCATTTTAAATAGTTGTTTTAGTCTGTTCATTTGTTCAGACAGTTGCACCACCTGACATTCTGGCGGTATAAAATAATATGTATTATTTAAATATACACAAATTATTTCAAACTAAATAGGTTTTATAGAATAAAGTGATATATGTCAGGAATTTATCAGATAATTTAAAAGAAAATAATGCACTTGGACATACAAATATGCAGGTCATGTCATTGACCCATATATAATAGTTTTGTTGTTTTATGTCTTGCAGAGGATGATTTTTACTCCAAGCTTGTTGACGACTATCTTGGTGCTCATTACGGAGAACTGTTGGAGCTGGATGAAAAGCCCTGGAAAAACCGCATGTTGGTCCAGATTGGGCTGATGAGAGAGGAGCAAGATCTTTCATGGGTTGATTTAATACAATGGCTCCAAAAGATTATCCCAATGTTTCAGTCTGCTGATTTCCAAAGTCTGATTGAGAGAAACACCACGACAGCTTTAAGCTTAACTGGAGATGCCAGAGAAAATTTTCTTGAGTCGGATGTCAACTTCGAATTTGTTGGACCTATATGTGATAGTATTGGAATCGGAAGAAGAGATTTACTTGAAATGTCTGATTTTTCTGATCGTGCAAAATTAACTGGTCTCACAAACGGCCTAATTCTCGAATTGACTAACTTTATTTCACGAGAGAAATTAGACCCGGTCGTCTTAGTTTCCTGGATTCGTAACTTTGAGCCTCTATTTTGTTATGATGGCAAGATCCAAAAAGCCTACAAGCTCCTACGAGCTAATCTCAAGAATTTCAGAATACAGTACCGCAACAATCAGAGGAGCCGAAAGCGGAGCCGTGGATTGCTGGATGAGTTTCTTCAGAGTCCATTTGATCTTGCTCCTGAAGGGGATGCAGAATATATTGAATACAAAAGGGTGGCAATGATCAAAGCACAGCTAAGGAAGAAACGCAGCATTTCTGTGCATAAACCTACCACTGCAGTCAAGAAGGAAGATGAACCCTTCGATATTTATACAGATGCCACTGTAAAAACTCAATTTCAGGGTGACCCAAAGCAAATTCCCCATGTGATCAGTGTAAAAAGGGAACCGAGATCACAGAGCCATCAAACATTGATACAGTCACTAGAAGATGTGGGAGAAGACCCAAGAAGTGACACGGGCGACAATGTAACACTTCTTGATATCTCTGTGCTGTCTTGGCAAAAGATTGCAGACGTGTGTGGAGGAAAGAACGAAGCTGCTAAGGTGGCCTCAATGGACCTACTTCAGAATCACTTCACAGCAATGCTGAAGGAAGATGCCAACCTGAGATCTCTCGATGACAAAGTCAAAGAAAGCACCCATCCACTTGTGCCACCTTTAAATTTCCTGCGTTACATCTGCCAATTCCTTTTCGAACTTATTGATGTAACTGAGCAGCAAATGATGTCATTCGGAAGAGATCTCGTGAACACCACAGGCGAGAAACTAGGACGCGACAAGCACCCCAGATTTCAGAGTTTTGTCAACTTCGATGAGAGCGCAGTGGCTCGTTACATTCACACGGCTTCTGAAATTTTATGTCCAAGTGAGGAGACCAACCCAAACTACCGCAGGTACTGGCTTGCTTTTTGCCTCGAGAGAAAAAACCCTTCCAGACTACCTATAAATCGGTCGAATCGTGTCATTAACTACTTTGAGGCAGCTGCCGGACTCATTCACCATCATGAAGATGTTGTTCTTTTTGTATCTGACCTGCAGCTTCTGAATGAGAACTCGAACTCAAATATCCTGTTAGAGAGCGTCAATGCTGATGCAAACGACGAGGCTTTGCAGGCGCTGGTCTGTGTGGTTGCTATTGTCTACCTTAAAGTCTTGGGACCCTTTTGGCAGCTTCTGAAGAGTGATGGAGAATATCCTCTTTTCAGTAGGTACATCCTTTGCCTGTATGACAAGCTCTTGGAATGGTCGCAAGATGCCAGTTGTCTTTTGCAACCAGAAGCTTTTGTGAATGTATTCTTACAGGTTCCAATGCAAGAGGGGACTTTTGAAGGAGTGTTCAGATTTTGCCGTGCTAATGCAGAGAACCAGTACGGTACTCTCATGAGAGCTTGTTTACAGAGGATGATGAAAGCCCTTGCAGCTGTACTGGAGGACAATCTCAAAGATTTCTTACCTGGCGGTGAGTACTGCAAAGATCAGCCTAAGGACACAGCGGTTCAAATGGCAAACTGCACATTTTCACAGCTGATGGGTGAGTACCCCTTCGGTCATGGGTACCCTTATGAGAAGAACAGGTCGAATAAAACCCTCAGTCAAGCCGAAGGTTGCGCTTCCAAAGAGACAGAACAAGAACCTGCTTCCCGAAAGGCGACAGATGAACCTACATCAACAGCGGTCACATTATCACCGGGCAAAACCATTCAAAAGCAGCAACAAGAGTCAAAACGCTACTCCATCTTGGAAGGAGCAAATCTTAATGCTGCAAAAAAAATGAAAGTGTCTAGACTAAAGCAAAAAGCTCAGGATCACATTTATAAGAAATTGATTGTTGAAGCGGTTTCAAAATATGGCGGCCCATGTAAAAGCAAGCAAGATGTTGAACGATTGCTTGCAAAACTTCAAGGTGCAAGCCATGCACATACACGCGAGGTTATTCGCTGTGAGCTGAACTACCAAAAGAGCATCTTGGGTTCCAGAGACAAAAAGCTAAATCACATAGGTTTCTCTTTGAATGACATGGTTTCTACACTGAAGGACATCTTGCCAAATGAGAGAGTTATAGTTACAACACCAGGTGAAACTGTGCTTGATCACACAGAGATTCAAGAGACCATGATGCAAACAACATCCTCAGACCCTCAAAGCACAGCCACTGGTCAACAAAGCAATATTGATATAAAGAAAATAAATGTTTTTGGCCCTTGTTACAGGGAGAACTTTGAGTTTATTTGATTGTGTTTTAATGCTACTGAATGAATGACACTTGCATTAGTTTCTTGATTTTATTTTTCTGCATATGGATACGTTTTTTGTTCTCAGATGTTTTGTTATTAATAAGCTTGATCTCTTATACCTAAGAGATTGCTAGACTTTTTTTTTCTGTAAGTATCAAAATAGTTAATTATGTTTTTTGACATTTGTTTTTATAGAAATTGCATTACAAAATTAAACAGTTTTTAGAAACCTAGTTGTCCTGACTTTTATTAAACAATACAGATTTTACTACTACAACCAATAATGACAATCATCTTATTATTACCAATAATATAAAACTGTATTATATTTATATTGTATACTCCATATATCAGAGTAGAATATATTTATATAATATGTATATATTATATAAATGTATATAATTGTTTGGAATCACGGTAACACTTTACAATAAGGTTCATTAATTAATGTATTAACTAACATGAACTAACCATGGGCAATACAGCAACAAATGTATTTAAAGACCATTTATTTAAAAAAGATTTAGAAAAAGTCATTTATAACATTTTATAATGTTATAAATGACTTTTTCTAAATCTTTTTTAAATAAATGGTCTTTAAACTTTCTGTTCAGTAAAGAATCCTCCACTTGCAGTGAAGTTCTACAGACCTTAGACTGTATGTTTTACTAGACCTTAAATACTAACCAATATTTAATTTCTTTTTTCTTTTTTTAAGCCAGTGTTACATGTCTTTTTCTTTAAAACCGCAGCATCTCATATTTCTCTGTTGTTTGGCAAGTACTGTTCATTTAAACTGAGACATTTTAAATCATAAAATAGGAAATGGTAATTTCAAAAAGCAATACTTCATTTTATGTATACATACATACAGTCAAACCAAAATGTATTCAGACACCTTCAACATTTCTCACATGATCACAGTTTATTCGCTAAAGTTTAGAAAATGGTAATAAAATATGACAAGAACTAGAGTTATCAAATCAGTTGATATTGCACTGGTTTTTGCCATCCTTCCGTTAGACTGTCTCACATGATCTCGGTTCAATAGCTGTCAGCTGTTAAATTGAAGTACACAATAAGATAATACTAATTTAGGTCAACCAATTACCAAGCAATGCTTAATGTTGTTCAGTCTGTGGTGTGAAAAGGTCGCATTAGCAATTAAAGAAAAAACACTTAAGCAAAACATGGTCAGGTCAAAGTGTCTGAATAAATTTTTGTCCTGAATTTTTTTAAGTTTTCCTGGTAGACCACTGTATGAAGAATGTTTGGGTAAAATATGTCACAGTTTACTTTATTTTGCTATCCTCACTTACATAAATGAACTATAGTGTCTTGCACCTACTAGTAAAAAAATATACAAAATTATATCTGGTGTCTGAATAATCTTTGGTTTGACTGTATATTGTTTTAACACATTTGTTTTAAACAGTTTTTTTTCATATTTTAAAATTAAAATACTAAATATATATTTTATATCTCATTGCAAGTGAATACGGAGTTTAAGTGAACACTGATAATCACAAGAATTATCAGTTCATTCATATTCACCAGATATAGGAAACGTGCAATTTTCTAACTTACCCGTGCCCTTTTCCTAGACGTATAAATGGCAGATACATGGTGGAATCATGCCATCGTTACACACATTTTGGTGGCCCTGTTTGGAATGGGCTCATGGATCTCTGTGAACTCATTATGGGTTGAACTGCCGGTTGTTGTAGGTGTTCTACCTGAAGGTAATTAGTGTTTTTTTTTATTTTATTTTTTACTTATACCATAGTAACTTATTTTAATAAAACTTTGATGTGTCCCACAGCTGTACCTAGTAGATGCTGTATGTATTATCCTGACAACAGTAGAATTTAAAACATGTCCTTTCTTTATAGGGTGGAACTTACCAGCCTATATTTCAGTGCTGATTGCATTTGGGAATTTGGGTCCAGTGGCTGTCACTTTAACCCACCACTTTGCTCCAGGACAGCTAAATGAACGTGTGGTCATTCACATCATACAAGTGCTAGCGGTGGTTGCAGCTGCATTTCTTGCTCTCTTTTGGTCCCAGGTGGTCACGGTCGCTGGAGAGCCTAGGTCTGTCCCATTCCTGCTGCTTACTTTTATACTGTCATTTGTCTGCTGCACTTCCAATGTCACCTTCTTACCCTTCATGTTCCGTTACCCCTCGCAATACATCCGGACGTTCTTCGTCGGACAGGGTCTTAGCGCACTCTTTCCCTGTGTAGTTGCTTTGGGGCAGGGTGTAGGGAAACTAGAGTGCGTTAATACGGCCAATGGCACAAAACCCCATTATCTCAAAGAAAACTTCCCTGCCCAAAACTTCTTCTGGTTCTTGTCCGTGATGCTGGCGTTTTCGGCCCTCTGTTTTGTGGCTCTGACGTACAGAGTGGTGTCCCAGACTGCAGCAGAGGAAGTCCCGAAGAATGAGCAGGAAACAGTGAAAACGGAAGAAGAGGCACACCCTTTACAAAATGGAAGTTCGCCTGTTTCTGAGGAACAAGTTGAAGTTGAAAAACAGGCACCTGTTGTGGCCTTCTGGACGTCACGCAATGTCTATCTGCTCCTGTTGTTAGGAATATCCAATGCTCTGACCAACGGCGTGCTGCCGTCAGTACAGAGTTTCTCCTGTCTGCCTTATGGCACCATGACCTATCACCTCTCTGTCGTCTTGGGCAACATTGCAAACCCTCTGGCCTGCTTTGTGGCTATGTTTGTCCTACTTAGGTAAGTGAGTTAAAGTTCTTGTTGAGCTTTTTGGTGTACATAACAGTACTGTAAAAAAAAATTAGTGTTCCTGTTTTTTAAATTCTGCTCCTGTACATTTTGTCATTGAATTGTGTGATGTAAGTGTTGTTAAAGGGTTAGTTCACCCAAAAAATGAAAATTACCCCATGGTTTACTCACCCTCAAGTCATCCTAGGTGTATATGACATTCGTCTTTCAGATGAATACAATCGGAGTTATATTAAAGGGGGCATATAATGGTACATGCACTTTTACAAGTTGATTGTACTGAAATGTGTGTTGGCAGAGCCTGTACACAACCATCATAAAATGATAAAAATCCATCCAGTGTTTTTGTGTTAATCTCCTTATATGTTTTCCTCTGCCTCAAATCAAGCCGTTCGACCGTGTGACGTCACACGATCGGAAGCCCCTCCCACGATTGTTGATTGACAGGAGCGTTTCAACACAGACCCGCCCTCGCTCTTGGGGGAGCTGTCAATCATAGTCCGCGCGGTCATTGTTTATATGCTGGAGCACTGTCTATGAGCAGAATGGCGTCTAAGCGATTGTGGTGTTCTGTTCTTGGGTGTAATAACGAACACAGCAGTCATTTTAATGTTCCTAAATCCGAAACGCTGAAGACGCAGTGGCTGTGTTTGTTTTCGAAGGGAATATTCCCCACGAGCAACGTCAATGCTCTCATGTTTGCGCGAATCATTTCTCACCAGACTGCTTTATAAATGAGGAGCTTAGAAGCTGCTCATGAAAAAAGGATCGGTACCAGATATTCGTGTTCCTGCTGAATCTCCAGAAGAACGGAAGTGAGTGTAACGTTTTATTAAACTTTATATTAATATATTAATCTTTGCAAATCGCTAGCTGCACGCTTCACAATGAATGCGTCTAAGGTTTACACTCAGGGTACATTACGGCATGTTTTCTATGTATGACGTTCTCAATATAATTCATAATCCCACGTTTATACTGAAAACGCGTTATGGTTATTGTGTTATTGTGTTACAAACGGTGTACACACAGAACAGAGAGGCGGGGTGAGCAAAGCTCATTATCATTTAAAGTCATATGCACTGAAACGGCGTGCTGAAAACAGAGCTGTTTTTGACCAGGTAAAATAAGTGTTTTCTTACAATACTAATGAGAATTTTTAATTAAAGTATATTACAAACTTTTAATGTAGACCCTAAAGAATCATATTAGCTTGTACAAAAATGGCATTATATGACCCCTTTAAAAAATGTCCTGGCTCTTCCAAGCTTTATAATGGCTGTGAATGGCAGTCTATGTTTTGAAGTCCATTAAAGTGCATCCATCCATCATAAAATTAATCCATACGGCTCTGCAGGGGTTAATAAAGGCCTTCTGAATTGTTCGTGTAAGAAAAATATCCATATTTAAAACTTTATTGACTAAAATAACTAGCTTACGGCAGACGTCCGTACGCATCGATTTAGGGTGGAAGACTAACCCCTGACACAACGTAATGACGAACACATCGATTCACTTCAGAACTTTTTTACACCTCTGCAGAGCAATGGAGATTACTTTTATGATGGATGGAATGGATGCACTTTGATGGACTTCAAAACATAAACTGCCATTCACTGCCATTATAAACCTTGGAAGAGCAAGGACATTTTTTTAATATAACTCCGATTGTATTCGTCTGAAAGAAGAACGTTATATACACCTAGAATGACTTGAGGGTAAGTGAATCATGGGGTAATTTTCATTTTTGGGTGAACTAACCCTTTAATTTAGTTGATTTTAGAACTGAAATTAAGGTTTCATTACAGGTCCAGTGTTGGTCTTGGTATGATGTCACTAGGAGGCGGTATTTTTGCAGCCTATCTCATGGCCTTGGCAGCACTTAGCCCCTGCCCACCACTTTTAGGAAGTCAGTCTGGAGTCGCTTTAGTGGTTAGTATCTTTATCTCATTACTGGGTGGAAGAGGAACTTACTAAGAATGAATCTCTTAAAATATTGAAAGTGATCTTTACTACACCACTGAAATATCACGTGCAAATACCACATGCAAAAGTGGCGCAACTGTTTAGTGATTTGCCACACTCTGATTATTTTATCATCTGTAAAGATCTGATAATAAAAAGTGAAAAGTAATCCTAAACCTTAAAATCCGCTAGTAAAGATAATTATTTAAAAACAGGTCATTATAGCAATATATATATATATTAATAATTTATGGAAGTCTGTGGGGCAACTTTTGTATTACTTGCTTCTTACACTTCCATTATAAATGCTTAATTGTTAAAGCATTTAAAACAAAAATTAAAGTGATATTTTTTTTAATAAAATAAAAAATAGGTTAAATAATAATAATATAATATTTAATATTATTTCTAATTAAATGTTTTCCAGGGTAAATGACAATTTGCCACAGATGCTGTTGACCTCTATTTATCCCAGAATATTCCTTGAATTTCTTTAATGATTTATTTACACTAAAAAAAAGTCATTCCTGACCACAGTCACTCATTCATTTACCACACATAATACACAAACTATCTGTAAATACAGTAATTCTATGAAACTGTATATTTTTTAATCGAAGCCTGTTATACTTTTACCATTTAGATCATATCCTGGATCATCTTCACTGGCCTGTTCTCTTACCTGAAGGTGATAGTTGGGACTCTGCTTCATGAAGCAGGACATGCAGCTCTTCTCTGGTGTGGAGTCTTCATCCAGGCTGGCTCTTTTATCGGAGCCTTTACAATGTTCCCTTTAGTCAGTGTGTACCAGGTCTTTCAGCGAGCCCAGGACTGCATCGATGAATGCAGTTAATAATTCAACGCTTGAGTTTACATTCACGCCATGCCTTTATATAGCAGGTATCTCTTCACGTGGGAATCTACGATGAATGGAGATGGTAAAGCTGATGCCTTCACAGGACATTTCAAGTTAATGTCAATGCAAACTGAGCTGCTCTTGATCACATAGCAAATCTTTGTGTTACCTGATGGCACATTGAGAATGTGAAGAATATGTGGTTGATACAGTTGATACACTTTGAATGTGTGTGTGAACACCTTGAACACCTTAATCTAGATGAATTTGTGGTTGGAAATCAGAGCAGGCCTGATTTTATAATAGAATATCAGCATGTCAGCAAATGTTTAGCCCAGAAATCAAAGTCAGCGATCTTTTGCTACAATGTACACTATGCCCATGAGTAGACTTATTCAATGTTTAATCCGTGTAGCATTATACACAGCATTTGTTTATTAGCAAGCTGATTATTGTTAATGAATGCAAATCAGGTAAAAAAATTTTCAATGACTCTAAGATTAAACTGTTTTGTTGAGCACAAGCAAAAAATGTGCATTGCCACATTCCATGTTAATGGCTTCTTACATTTGGATTTAGATCAGTGGTTCTCAACCTCTCCTGCAGGGACCCCCTGACACACCATGTTTCTGTTTTAACCCTGAAATGGCACACCTGATTCAATTAATTAAAGGCTTAATGAGTCATTATTAGAGTAGGAAGTAGGAATTAGTTAATTGATCAATTAGTCAACTACTCATTAAGCCTTCAATTAATTGAATCAGGTGTGCCATTTCAGGGTTAAAACAGAAACATGGTGTGTCAGGGGGTCCCTGCAGGAGAGGTTGAGAACCACTGATTTAGATAGACACACTTGTCTCTCTGCTGAATATCTAGTTTTGTTTATCTGTAAAAATTTTAATGTACACAAGTCTAAGTCGACAACATGTCAAACCTGTAATATCTGCCATGTGTGATGCTGCCATGTTTTACCTTTTTGATTTTAGATGTGAGGCCAGTATTTTAATTATGATTAATCTCATGAATTCTCCAGCTGCTGTTATCACTTATTTTATGTATTATTATTTTTTAAATAATAATTCAGATGCATTCCTGACATCTCTAATGAAAGCCTTTATTTAAAACCTGTTGTATTAACATTGCATAGTAGTATTATCATGCGGTGGAAACTTTGAATAGGCTATACCAATATAAAGAATTTCCCCTCAGGTCTTCAATGACATTGGTGCTGAATGGGCTGAAAATATTATGACATTATAGAACTATCATATGCTATTTTTTTCTGTTCACTTGTTCTTATGCCCTTTTTAATATGTTATTGTTATGTATGGAAGCTTGTTTCCGCCACAGCATAAAACATTTTAAAAGATAATTGTGACTTTTTATCTCACAATTTCGAGTTTACATCTAGCAATTCTGACTTTATTTCTCAGAATTGCGAGATATAAAGTGAGATTTGCGTGTTATAAAGTCAGAATTGCGTGAAATAAAGTCCCAATTGCGTGTTATAAAGTCAGAATTTCGAGAGAAAAAAACTAATATTTCGGACTTTCTCGCAATTGCGAGACTTTATAACACATAATTGCGAGTTAAATCTCGCAATTCTGAAATCTTTTCTCAGAATTGTATATAAACTCGCAATTGCGAGTTATAAAGTCCAATTCTATAAGGGAAAAAAGACTTTCCCTCATGAGAATAGTTTATATCTCACAATTCTGACTTTAATTGTGAGATATAAACTCGCAATTGCGAGTTATAAAGTCCAATTCTAAGGGGAAAAAAGGACTTTCCCTCAGAATATTTTATATCTCACAATTCTGACTTTATAACACGCAATTGCGACTTTATATCATGTAATTCTGACTTTATATCTCGCAATTGCGTATAATAATTGCGAGATATAAACATGCAATTGTGAGAGAAAAAGTCAGAATTTCAAGTAGGCTATATTTCTCGCAATTGCGAGTTTATATCTCATATGTCTGACTTTACAACACGCAATTGCGACTTTATATCAATAAATTCTGACTTTATATCTCGCAACTGAGAGAAAAAAAGTCAGAAGATAAAAAGTCGCAATTACCTTTTTTTATTTTTCATTCTGTGGCGGAAACAAGCTTCCATGAGGTCTCACAGCTTTGTAAATAAATGGTTCTTTCAACAAAGGTGGAATGTTGTGGCTGGTATCAAAACAAAGCTTATTCCTGGCGCCACTAGCACCCCCCATAAAAATGTGTGATTAATCACTAAATCGTGATCGTCTCAGTCCCCTTACTCATAAAAAAACGTCGGCAGGCTTCGGCTCCTGCTCCGTATTTTAGTCTGCGTTAGGGCCCGAGGACCCTATTGCTCCGTTTATTCAGCCTGTTCTTCACTCCGTATTCCGCAGCAGCGCCAGCGTCAGAAGCAGAGAAAAGGTATGTACATTTATTTAGATTGTCATGGCTTCTGCCTCTGTTTAGTTGTTTGTTATAAATGCATTCACGTAATATGAATATGATGATGGGGGAGCGATACAAGACGGTTCGTCGACTGCAAAAAGTTATGGCTGCATATCCCTCATGATCATCATCACACAGTTGTTTTCCACAGTGCTTCACAGCAATGAAGGCCGGCATATAGGCTACTTTAGAAAAACATCACAATGCTATTTTGTTTCATTTTTATTTTAGCAATAATAATAATAAGACTTTCTAGACCTTTGTGACTTTACATTGTGTTCAAATGTAGAGTTAAAAATAGTTTAGTGTGTGTATACGTATACCCACTACTAGGCCCAAATTAGGAGGGATTTTAGCCCCCCTAAAGTTCCACCCAGCCCCCATAAAAATGTGTGATTATTCACTAAATCGTGATTAAAAAACAAAGCTGTGAATGACAGAGAAATAGACAAATCATGTGTGGAGCTAGGCCTATTTCAGCCTACTAAATAATGATCCAGCAGCTGATTGTGACACATTTATTAGCATTAGAGTAAAGGCAATTGTGGTTTTGATGCAACTTTGAAATTACAGATTCATTTTGTTATGTTTTTTTTTTTTTTTTTTTAAATAAACAGAAAACATACACAAAAAGGAATGATTTAATACTGGACAGATTAAACATATTGCCAATAGTAGGCTAATATAAGGTTTGTCGATGATCTTAGTATAAGCTGATTATTTAAAATGATTTTCAGTTTGCACCATCTTCCTGAATTGAACTGATTGTTATGGTTATTGACTTGATTTCGTCATTTAGTTCAGGTGTGTCGTTAATTATCCTTGTTTGCATATACTTAAGTTCCTCTGTTTCTGTTCATTGTTGTCGAGTCGTGTTACCTGTGTTGAAAGCTGTTCTCTGTTTGATACTGCGTGTAGATTTATCAAAGATTACCTTTGACTCCATCACCGTTTTTTTTTTTTTTTGGTAAATGCTCTTACAACACAGTCAGTCCTTGTTATGACACAAATAGAGTAGAATCTATTGTATTGTTCATGCATATCCTAGTGTACAAATAATACACTATATTGCCAAAAGTATTGGGACATCCCTCCAAATCATTGAATTCATGTGCTCTAATCACTTATATGGCACCAGCTGTATAAAATCAAGCACCTAGGCATGCAGACTGCTCCTACAAACATTTGTGAAAGAATGGGTCGCTTTCAGGACCTCAGTGAATTCAAGCGTGGTGCCGTGATCGGTAAATATTCCACGGTCAACTGTTAGTGGTATTATAACAAAGTGGAAGCAATTGGGAACAACAGCAACTCAGCCACAAAGTGGTAGGCCACGTAAAATCACAGAGCAGGGTCAGAACATGCTGAGGCGCACAGTGCGCAGAAGTCGCCAACTTTCTGCAGAGTCAATAGCTACAGACCTCCAAACCTCATGTGGCCTTCGGATTAGCTCAAGAACAGTGCGTAGAGAGCTTCATGGAATGGGTTTCCATGGCTGAGCAACTGCATCCAAGCCTTACATCTACCAAGTACAATGCAAAGCGCCAGATGCAGTGGTGTAAAGGACGCCACCACTGGACTGTAGAGCAGTGGAGACGTGTTCTCTGGAGTGACGAGTCTGCCTGGCAATCCTATGGACGAGTCTGGGTTTGGCGGTTGCTAGGAGAACGGTGCTTACCTGACTGCATTGTGCCAAAATAAAGTAAAGTTTGGTGGAGGGGGGATTATGGTGTGGGATTGTTTTTCAGGTGTTGGGCTTGGCCCCTTAGTTCCAGTGAAAGGAACTCTTAATGCTTCAGCATAGATATTTTGGACAATTTCATGCTCCCAACTTGTGGGAAAGGTTTGGGGATGGCCCCTTCCTGTTCCAATATGACTGCGCACCAGTGCACAAAGCAAGGTCAATAAAGACATGAGCGAGTTTGGTGTGGAGGAACTTGACTGACCTGCACAGAGTTCTGACCTCAACCCTATTGAACACCTTTGGGATGAATTAGAGCGGAGACTGCGAGCCAGGCCTTTTCGTCCAACATCAGTGCCTGAGTTAGCTAATAGCTAATTTACATCTGCTGTCCCTGGGCAGGTAAACAAATTAAATAACATACAATATTACATATACACCACATAAAACATCACAATACATATATCCAGAGATGTAAGGCATAAACACAATCCTAAACCTTGTGGAAAGCCTTCCCAGAAGAGTTGAAGCTGTTATAGCTGCAAAGGGTGGGCCAAATCCAAATTAAACCCTATGGATTAAGAGTGGGATGTGATTAAAGTTCATCTGCATGTAAAGGCAGGTGTCCCAAAACTTTTGAGATTCTCAATGCAGTACATTAAATCCACGGGGAGGAGTCGGATCCAGATCCAACTCCTCCCACCTTACACATACCTAAACCTACCCATCTCCACCCCCTAATCCCTAAACCCACCCCTAATCCTACCCATCTCCACCCCTTGGATCTTGATCCGACTCCTCCCTGTGGATCTCATGTACTGCATTGAGGTGCTACTGAAACTTTTGGCAATATAGTGCATATTACATACATTTTTCTAAATCATACCGTCATTGGGGGCTGAGCCCCCCTAATATTGAAATACTAGAATCTTCCTATTCAGTCTTTCTGATTACTTTTCTTTTCTGTGTGTCCTTGCATGTGTTTAGTCAATTAACCATGATCATTTATTACAGCAGTTGTTACTAATGTTGGTGTCAGTAGGTTCATAGAAAATTACGGATACATTTATAAAAGAAAAAAAAATCTGTTATTAACATTATTTGGAAAATGTACATGTCAATAATAGTGTTAACAACACTAAATAAATTATTTCAAACAAATATTTTACAACTAAAGTTGAACTATAAACTATGTAAAACTACACTAGACCACACTATGTATTTTTCAACAATATTCTGTGCTTGTTTTAAGTCACCTTTTTACTATACTATTGCATAACATGGTGGTCATGATCGGTCTATCAAAGGCAAATCGTGTTTTACATTTGCTGTCAGAATTCATGCAAGAAAACCCCTCTCAGCAATTACTGATGATACCACAGTACACATATACTATTGCATTTTTATTAAATGTATGATTCAGGTTTTTCTGACTTTCATACTTCCATTGTAATATATCATCTACAAATTACACATTATCCCTTTATCCGTTTCCTTAATAAAACATCAACAGACAGGGGCCATGGTTGGCTAGAATGGGCACACCCCCTCATGCAGAGGATATAAGACACATTTCTCTCATTGTACAGGACTTTGTGTCCATATGATCAGCCTCAGATCATGTGAGTACCTGTCAGATTTTACACATGTTATTATGAACTTTTTTCCCTCTAATTCACTTTATTCATTGCTACATACTCCTTTCTGTTAATTTTACATTCCCATAAGTTAATATAACATTATTTATTATTAAATTAAAATTAACTTCTCAAATGTTGCAGGCATGTAGTTTATTATCAGTACAATTAGTATAAAAGAATAACTGCTATATATGTTGCATAATTAATGGACCATTCATTGCATTTACTATGTACGTTACATCTGATATATTTACCTGATAAATATTTGTTGCTAATGACAATCAATAATAATCGTTGTGTTTAGTTCCTGTTTCCTTTGTTTTTATTGCCTACCTTGTTAGTTTTTATAGGTTTTTTTTACCATAGTATATCTAATATCCTTCATCTGTCCCTGGGACCTTGTGATCCCTGCATATTTATACCCTTGTGTTTCAGTCGTGTTTTGTCAGTCGTTGTTCCTGTATGTTTGTGTTCTAAGTTGTTGCGCTCCTGCTTTCTCTGTTTGGATTATGTTCCTGATTCCCTTGTGTGGATTATAGTTCTGTTTCAGGACTGGATTATCTGTGACTGTGTTTGTACCTTTTTTAATAAACTGTGCTTGCTTTAGGATTCTCGCCTCTTCGCGAAACAAAGTAAACAGAATATGTCAATATTGAATATGTCAAAACTATCAACATTGTGATAGCTGTAACTAAATTACCTAACTCGCTAACTCAGCGATGGACACAGACCTAATCATTTAGCCAAATACTCAAACCACAATGACGGCGACAACCAAAAACAGCATAAAGATGATTTTTCCAAAATGACAAATAAACTAAGAGTCGCAATACAGTAACAGCAAAATAAGTAGCCTAGCACTGCATTTTCTGCATAATTTAATCATGTCTTGCAGCAGCTGGGATGTCCAGTTATCACCTTGTTATCATCCACAGACTCCACAAAAGTGCTAAAGTTCAACAGAACAGGGAATGAATGACGGAAAGTTTACCTTGCGGGTATTAAAACGCTTACTGTGTTCAATGCACTTTTGACTGGTACATTGCTTATTCATTCATTAGAATTATAACGTTTTCTAAAAAGTATTCTGGGCAACAAATGCAAACACTGTCGACAAAAAGATGCAAAAATCTGTTTTTAAGAGGTTTGTGTATATAATCGTTGCATATATTTATATTTGTTTGTTTTAAAATACTTTTGAAGTGAATATATTCAGTTTTTTTCCCCACGATGTAGCATACGGCCTACCTTATTTTCATTTGTTTTCTGTTCACTTTTGAACAAAGTTCTGTCCCACTTTTTGCAGGCCAATTTTGTTGCACTAAATAAAAGGTATAGTCCTATTCATAGTTATATGGCTGACATGAAATTGAATGCTCAAATTCCCTTATACATTCGAATACATTTTAAAGTTTCGGTACATATGTGTACTGTATATTGTTTTAATGCTATTGCTATGACAGTTTTTACACCAGTGTGGCCCACTCCCACCTAGCGTCCCTACAGACCCTCTGCTATAACTGCATTCTGATTTGTACTTTGATAGACCTTCTGCAAATGCACAATCTTCCTGACTTTGTTCTTTAAATAGATTGGCATAGCATCAAAGTGTTAGTTAGACAATGCTCCAGTTGCTACAGATGTTACTGAATAACTTCACTTTAGCAGATGATTCTTGTCCAAAGCGAAAGTGCACTCAATGAAGGGTCAATCCGCCTGGAGTGCCCTTAGATTAAATGTTTTGCTTGAGGGCATAATGATGAAGCTTTCTGACATTACAGGTGAAAGAATTTAACCGCAGCAATTTAAAGATGAAGTGTGTAATTTCTACTCCACTAGTGGCACCAAGTGGAGTTGCAAAAATAATGGCTTTCATTATTGAATGAGATTCTGTTGGTTAAAGGAATAGTTCACCCAAAAATGAAAATGCTGTCATTTATTCACCCTCAAGTTGTTCCAAACCTGTATGAACTTCTTGCTGAACATGTCAAGAATGTCAGTAACCAAACAGTTGTTGAGCCCCATTGACTTCCATAGTATTTTTCTTTTCCATACTACAGTATAGCCGCGTTTCCACCCAAATTACCCAGAACAATTTGTCCCAGGAACTGTTTTCCCCCCAGACCTGTTGGTGTCTGGGTTTCCACCCCGTTCTAAAGTACCGTGAAGATTAGGCAAATAGTCCGGTGACGTAGGACTGTGCGCTACTTTACAGTTCCCGCTGGATTTCATCCTCTGAATTTAAGCTTAATAAAACCTGAACCTCGTCGTCGTGAATTGCAAACAACTGTTACTGCACGCACTGCAACAGATGGTGGTTAAAATTAAATGCTGTGTGGATTCAACCAATCAAAATGCGGCATGAACTCAACCAATCAGCATTTTCAGCGCCAAAGTCCCACCCCTGAAAGTTCCTGAACTTTGACAAAGTACTACCTCGCGAGCAGGGACTTTTGGAGGGGGAAATATTTACCCGGAACTTCATTTAGACCCTGGTTCCTGCAGTGTAAACAAACGGAGTACCACCCCAAAGTCCCTAGTTCCTGGGGAAAGTTCCTGCGGTGGAAACGCGGCTTATGAAAGTCAATGGGCCCAACAACTATTTGGTTACCCAGAATCTTCGAAATATATATTTCTTTGTGTTCAGCCGAATAAATAAATTCATACAGGTTTGGAACAACTTGTACATAATGACAGAATGTTCATTTTTGGGTGAACTATACCATTAATAATGATGATTCTGTTGGTTACTAACTGTATCGTTTTTCTTTCCTTTAGACATTTAGGTTATGAATTCTGAGGGATACTGATCTAAATCATCATGGCCATGTCCATCCTCACCCATGTTTTGGCCAGTCTGTTTGGCATGGGCTCCTGGGTCACCATCTGTGGTGTGTGGGTGGAGCTTCCTTTAATCGTTCCACATGTACCTGAGGGCTGGTACCTTCCCTCCTACCTCTCTGTTATTGTCCAAATTGCCAACATCGGACCTCTGTTTGTCACATTAATGCACCGCTTCCGCCCAGGAACTCTCAACGAGACAGCGGTTATTTATTTTATTGTTGGTTTTGGGATACTGGCCAGCCTCTTCCTGGCTTTCTTCTGGAGTGAGACGGTAGCGGTGCGAGGTGTGGAGTGCAGCCTTCCTCTCCTGCTCCTCATCTTCTTCATCTCCATAGTGGACTGCACTTCTTCTGTGACGTTCCTTCCCTTCATGGCGCAGCTCAAGGCGGAGTATCTCATGACTTATTATATAGGGGAAGGCCTGAGCGGTCTTGTCCCAGCTTTAATGGCGATGGTTCAGGGTGTAGGTGTGATGGAATGTGTAAATGCATCTCAAATCCTCAGATCCAATGAAACACATCTTAATGAGTCTGAAAGAGACGCTAACTACCTCGTGCCCCAATACCAACCAGCTAACTTTTCAGTTGAAGCCTATTTTTTCTTCTTGGCTGCTATGATGGTGGTTTGTTTAGTGGCGTTCTTACTTTTGAACTACCATCCAGCTGTGGCTCGAGAGCACTCCAGTAACACAAATGGAAATGGAGACCATACATCCCACAGGAAAAACAAGAGATCTGAACAGAAACCAATGATGCGTTCTCAAAAGGTTATTGAGAAGCCCAGGAGCACGTTTGGGACCGGGACGTATACGTGGATACAAGTAGTGTACATCTACATTATCCTAGCATGGGTAAACGCTCTGACCAATACTGGCTTGCCGTCAGTGCAGTCGTATGCATGTTTACCATATGGAGACCAGGCCTATCACTGGTCAGCCACTATGGCGAATGTTGCCAATCCTATAGCTTGCTTCATCACCATGTTTTACACTCAAAGGTGAGCTACATCTTGAAAAACAATTATTGTACTGTGATTTCTTTGTTCTTTTAAACAATATATGATTATATATTGTAGCTCTACAATATTGTATCATGCTTATTACAAGGCTACTTCCCAAACAAATATGTGGACATGAAATGATGATGAAAGTTTAAATCAGCATTAAATCAACATTGAAATTAGAATGATTTCTGAAGGATCATGTGACACTAAAGACTGGAGTAAGCTTTGCCATCACAGGAATTGATTTTGAATACTAAAATTAAAACAAACTTGGATGTTGGCTTGAGAAAGGCTAAAAGTTTTAAATAGACAGACAGATAGTTAACTTAATTTATTTGAATTTAGTTTTAATTTGATTCTAGCTCCATGCTGATTCCAATTTAAAATGATCCTAAAATTTAGACTGCAATTACTATGAATTTAGTCATGTTTTTAATTTGGATATTTCATTATTCACAATCAGTTGCCTCGATTTTTAAGTTAATAAATTCAACGTTTAAGTAAGCAGAACTGGCAGATTTTATTTTGTACTCAAAAATTTCAAGTTAAGAACAAGTAAAATGTATGAGTACACTAATCCATACATTTAACTCTAAAACTTTCTTGTAACCTCAATGTGAACATTTTTATTACTTAGCTAGCTATAACAAGCTAGTTCAATAAATGCTAACTTGCTAATTTGCAAACATTTTAACAATAGCAGGGAATAGCACTTGCTGTATGTGCAGCAATATTAAGCTTTTATCATACTTGCTCTCAAACTCGTAACTCTCCTAAAACCAACATGAACAGAAATTCTTCTAAATTAGCATAACAAAACATTAATTACTACTAAATCTCCCACGTAACATTAATCTTGCACACAAAAAAAAATCTTATATTACTCTTAATGTTAGCATTTACTCTCCCTTCCAAGTGCCATGGGCAAAGCATGCTGGGAAACAGAAATCCCAGCCCAGTTTCAGTTAAACTTAAGTTTATTTCATAAAACTCAAAACAATGAAACCGTTCAGTTTACTTAAACATGTCAGTTCTGTGAACTTGAAAGAAAAAGAAAGTACAAAATACTCATAAAAGTTAATGTGACTGAACTAATTAGTTTAATTTAAGTTTGTCCTACTCAAACCAATTAATTATTTTGAGCGTTAGGGTTTACAGTGCACCAGTTCTTTGTCAGGATGAAGAGTTGACAACTTTAAGTCGGCCAGCACATGCTTACTCAAAAAGTGTAGTTTTCTTAGTCACGTTCATACAGCTTGCTATATCAGTGATAGGCAGAAATCAAAAGGTCCAGATGATGTGCCATTCTCCATTCATCCAAGGACTTCAGTTTGGCCTATCCTGGATGTTGATTTGCAGTAACACCAGATGTCACTTGATAGATAGATAGATAGATAGATAGATAGATAGATAGATAGATAGATAGATAGATAGATAGATAGATAGATAGATAGATAGATAGATAGATAGATAGATAGATTTGGCACATTTTGGATATTAACACAATTAACTAACTCATCCTCAACTCTTTGTCACATTCTGAACAGGTCTTTAGTGCTGATGGGAGTTCTCACTTCTATTGGCTCTCTAATTGGAGTTTTCATTATGAGCATGGCTGTGTTGAGTCCCTGTCCACTGCTAGTTAATGAGACCTCTGGAGCCATCATTATTGTGAGTATTGGGGACCAATACATGTTTATATCTTATAAGAAGCTTATTTTCTTGGTCTATATTATTGTTTCTTTTTGTATATTTAGTAATACTTTGTTTTACAGGTGTTGGCGTGGTTCTTTTTTATCTTCGTCCTATCCTACGTAAAGGTGATTGTTGCTGTCATCTTGCGAGATGAAGGCCACAGCGCTCTTGTGTGGTGTGGAGCTGTAGTGCAGTTGGGCTCAATGTTGGGGGCAGTGACTATGTTTCCTTTGGTCAATGTATTTGAATTTTTCACCTCAGGTGACCCATGTAACACTAATTGTCAATGAGAAATGGGATCTGTAAATAATATTAATCATATTATACTTAATTGTGGAGCATATGTAAACATTTCTATTAGAATTTTTGTCAGAAAAGGGAATTGTTTAAAACTAATATCAAATATTTTAATTAATGTAAAATAATCTTGCTTTCAATGTCAATTGTTTTTGCATGCTATTCAGATATGTTTATTACATTAACAATGTTTGTAAAGTTTTTTTAATGCTGACTTTTTTTGTTGTTGCAATGTTTGTAAAGTGTTTTATGCTGACTTTTATTATTATTATTATTATTAGTTGCTGGCTTGTCCATTTTTTTAACATCTCTAAAAAAATGGTTTCATGAATAGGAGTACTATTTTCAATGGCAATTTTGCCAGAATCATCAAATGTCCACTAGGAGGCGGTAACAGTCTAGATCAGTTCTTCTCACCCATGAGCAGAGGGTTACTAGGGGACCTCAGTAAGCTAGTTTCAGAATGTCTTAAAATTATTAATTATTACATTTGATTTTTTATCAGTAAAATCTCACAGAATGTGTAAGTGAAACATAACATGCATTGGATTTCTTACTATGGAGAAAGATCAGGAAGGTTTTTAATTCGTCCCCTCAACAATTGTATAAAGTGATCTAAAATATTTCTAATGAATTTCCCAATATAAACATTTACTTGAGATGCCTTTAAAATATTATAGTTGAGTTAAGTTTAAGTTATGAATTATGTCAGGAAACAAAATCCTGCAGAGAACTTCTACATCAAAACAACAGCACTTATTTTTTTCTTTCCTTAAAGGGGTCATATAATGGTACATGCACTTTTACAAGTTGATTGTACTGAAATGTGTGTTGGCAGTGTCTGTACACAGCCATCATATAATGATAAAAATCCATCCAGTGGTTTTGTTTTAATCTCCTTATATGTTTTCCCCTGCCTCAAATCGAGCCGTTCGAGCCTGTGACGTCACAAGCTCGCACGCCCCTCCCGCGATTGTTGAATGACAGCCGCGTTTCAACACAGACCCGCCCTCGCTCGTGAGAGCTGTCAATCATAGTCCGCGCGGACCGGCGCGGTCATTGTTGATATGCTGGAGCACTGTCTATGAGCAGAATGGCGTCTAAGCGATTGTGGTGTTCTGTTCTTGCGTGTAATAACGAACACAGTCATTTTAATGTTCCTAAATCCGAACCGCCGAAGACGCAGTGGCTGAGTTTGTTTTCGAAGGGAATATTCCCCACGAGCAACGTCAATGCTCTCATGTTTGCGCGAATCATTTCACACACCAGACTGCTTTATAAACGAGGGGGTATAAAGCTGGTTTTGCTAAGAAGCTGCTCCTGAAAGGATCGGTACCATCTATTCGTGTTCCTGCAGCTGCTCCAGAAGAACGGAAGTGAGTGTAACGTGTTATTAAACTTTATATTAATATTTATATTAATACTTGTAAATCGCTAGCTGCACGCTTCACAATGAATGCGTCTAAGGTTTACACTTAGGGTACATTACGGCATGTTTTCTATGTATGGTTCTCAATATAATGCATAATCCCACGTTTATACTGAACAACGTGTTATGGTTATTGTGTTACAAACGTGTACGCCAGAGCCGGCTCTGGTGTACGCATAGAACAGAGAGGCAGAGTCAGCAAAGCTCATGATCATTTAAAGTCATATACACTGAAACGGCGTGCTGAAAACAGAGCTGTTTTTTTTACCAGGTAAAATAAGTGTTTTCTTACAATACTAATGAGAATTTTTAATTAAAGTATATTACAAACTTTTAATTTAGACCCTAAAGAATCATATTAGCTTGTACAAAAATGGCATTATATGACCCCTTTAAAAAAAATGGAACAACCTGTTAAGGCAGTAAAAATTGTTCATGATTCTACATGATTATTTAAATGTATTGACAGCCTTAGTTTCTGTTAATAAAAAAAGCATAATTTCAACAGAAAAAAAACCTGATATATTAGTCTCTTTTCAGTATGCAAAGTCATTGAATTGAGCTGATAGAATCTTAATAATCTGCAGTGTTATAGATTTATTTTATTGTGCTGCAAAATCACAATTTAAAGTCTATGTCTTAACTTCTGATATTCTAATAGGTTTTCAAACTGGGGGTTTGAGGTGCTTGGGGGTCCACAAAAAAATTCAGAGAATTAAAAAAAAAAAATGTTTAAATAGGAAAATAGATCAAATAAAACCAAATTATTATGCTTAAACAAATAAGCAGTGTTTGGTAATGCATTAAAAAGTAATGCGAGTTACGTAATCATATTACTTTTTTCAAGTAACTATAATTCTGTCACGACCACTATCGTCAAATACGATTGACAATTAGCATATAGTTTGGATTGGCGGTATGGTTCTGTTGAATGAATAAATGAATGATGAGGCATTTATATAGCGCTTTCATATGTACTACTGTACACCCAAAGTGCTTTACAATCATATCAGGGGTTCTCTCCTCAACCACCACCAGTGTGCAGGATCCACTTGGATGTGCAGCATCCACTGTTCTGGGCGAGAACTGCACATCCATGTAGCCTGGATAAGAGCAGGGAGAGCCGCAATAACCCCCCATAGGGTAAACAGAATAGAACCAACATGAATGTATTGCAGATATCATTAATGTCAATATTTTAATGTACAACAATTGCCCACAGGGGAATCAGAATACCAAATCCTGACGGGAGACAGGAGGAGCTGGGGATGGAAGAGGGTAATTAGCTCCTGAGAAACGCCATAGCTGCTGATAAAACTGAAAGAGCTTTTATATGAATACAGTGATAGGCGTCGTATTCCTATAGACGTGTATCAGCTGAGAGTCAGCTGATGCAAGCTTGACATGACCTGCCAGAAGTAACCCCGCGTGTGATAGTAACGCACTACTTTTAAAGCAACACTAAGTAACTTTTCCTCTGCGGTCGCCCTACTGTTTGGAAGCGGAATTGTCCATTACCGCTGTCGTAAATAATTTAGCCTACCGCAGCCTACTGTCGCACTCGTGCTCGTTGTTTATCCAGCATCGGCTTTGGAATGAACGATGTCCACAGACAAGGTAGAGTATGTTGCATGATTTCATGAAAGTATGATGTATTGCGACTCAGAAACGAAGAAAAACAAAATAATGATGACTATTGTAACGCTTGACGTAAAGCAAGTCAAATTTGTAGTTTTCTTATGTCTCATTAGAACTACAGAAATGCAACCCGATCTGGCAATCTTACATAGCGTGGTTATAGCAGATATAGGACCGCAAAGCGAATCCAGAAGTCCCTTTCACCCTGTTACGACTTAATGAACCACTGAAACGATTTTGGAAACATTATTTCAAGGTAAAAAATCTTACTTAGTGTTGCTTTAAATTCACAACAAATTAAGCAACACAAGTTAATATGTATTTAATCTCACTTTATTAACGTCTTTGCTGACCTTTGATGATCCAAATAAACCACATGAATAAGCAAAAATGACTTTAGTTAAACATGACATTTGTGTTTTTATTGATAAGTGAGTGGAACTGTCCTATACTTCTTCAATCCAGAATGGCGGGACAGCTGCAAAGTTACTTTGAGCTGCGCCTTCTACTGTACAGGTGTGGATTTGCATTTCCTTCAGCCTTATTCATTTCACTTTAAGTGTGAAAGGGCCTTTACATTTGCCAAAAATAAAACTTTTATTTAGCTATTAAAAAACAAACAAGCAAGCCCAACCCAGGTGAAACACATTATGTAACACATTACTTTCCATACTTTTTAGTAACGCAATATTGTAAAGCATTACTTTTAAAATTAACTTTCCCCAACACTGTAAATATGATTCAGTGTTGAAATCTGACATTTGATTCCTAATGACAGGTCTTTAATCATTAGATTGATGGCTCTTTAGTTTATTAAAGTTTGTTTCTCTACAGGTTTATAGTAAGTAAAACAAATATGCAATGTCAACTTAATAGAAAGCAAGAAAAGAAAAATAAATTCACACAATATTGTACATATATTTATAGCATTTTTGTTTTACTGTATATAAATGATTAAGAAAGAGGTCCCTCTAAAGATACCAATATTTATGGTTTTGTGGCATCAAAACGTTCGGCAGTCTGGGAGGAACAGCCTCCATCTTGCTTTGATCCATTATCTTCTCAAGGGAGAGAAGATAATAGGAGGATTATAGTTATATGTATTGGGATGTGAAGCTCACATCTGTGAGTTTTAAGACTCCAAGTTCTTCACTCAACAGGACAGTTTTCACACAATGATAACTGAGACCGTTAGCAAAAGCCACTCTTCTTCTTGGCTCTCTAGCAATCCTCACATGGGCCGCCTACCAATAGAGTGGCTATTTGTGGGCACTGGCTTTGATGATACACCGCACCCTGACTGTGCGTTGTCACCATGGCTATGTGTGACCGAGGATTCAAACCCATGGAAAATATTCCCGTCTGCCTAGCAGGTGTCACAGGGTGCTTGGCTCAAAGCCTGGATGCAACAGCTGCTTCTACTTCGATCCATTAGTTACTACTCTGGAAGTTCAGCTCTCCTGGGCACATGGGGAAGAGATCTTGCGCATTTTTCATGATTCCTTTTCAGACGACGCTGCCGCATTTTTAATGAGCCGTTGTGACTAGGGTTGAAACTAGATCTGTGAAACGGAACATTGGGTCAGTGTTTTAGACTCTTTAAAAGTTTGGACAAAAGACTTTTTCAAATAAATCATCTCCGTTTTTCATTCTCTATGACCAGTAAGAAACATCTTGAAGTCTTTTGTCATTTGATTTTGTCGTAAAAACTCAATATCAATCACTAGCAGTCTCCTGTCATAACAGAGGCTTTTCACACGTCTTACTCGAGTGAATATTTCTCTTAGTGGGTCAGTTACTTCATCCACCTTCTTTTGCAACGCAAAAATAAGCTGTTTTCTGTAAATGTGCAGAATTCATTAGCCGCTATATGTATTAATAACAAAGTGCTGTAAATGGTAAAACTTGTTATGCTATGTTTAGGATTATAATAATAAATTCAAATAATATATAATAATTTAAAAAAAGAAAGAGGCCTTTGGGCC